AACTGTGACTGTCCTGGTGCTTAGGCTGGTCCTGATGCAGGTGCTGGTTCTGTTGCAGGTGCTTGTGCTTGACCCAGAGCTTGTGCTGGTGTTGGTGCTGGTAATGGTGCTGGTGCTGGTGCTTGCGCTTGACCCAGTGCTTGTGCTGGTCCCTGAACTAGTGATGGAGCTGGTGCTGGTGCTGGTTCAGGTGCTTAGGCTAGTGCTGCTGCTGGTTCTGGTGCTGGTGGTGGTGGTGGTGCTGGTGCTTGTGCTTGACCCGCTTCTTGCGCTGGTCCTGGTCCTGGTCCTGGTCCTGGTCCTGGTCCTGGTCCTGGTCCTGGTCCTGGTCCTGTTCCTGGTCCTGGTTCCGGTCCTGGTCCTGGTCCTGCTCCTGCTCTTGGTCTTGGTCCTGGTCCTGGTCCTGGTCCTGGTGCTGGTGCTGCTGCTGGTGCTGGTCCTGGTGCTGGAGCTGGGACTGGTGTTGGTGCCTGTGCGGTTGCTTTTGCTGATGGTGGCAATTGGGACTGTCCTGGTGCTTAGGCTGGTCCTGGTGCTGGTTCTGGTGCTGGTGTTTGTGCTTGACCCAGTGCTTGTCCTGGTGTTGGTGCTGGTGTTGGTGATGGCGCTGGTGCTGGTGCTGGTGCTTAGGCTGGTGCTTAGTCTGTTGCTGGTGCTGATGCTGTTGCTTTTTGCTGGTACCTGGGCGGGTGCCAGCGCTTGTGCTGGTGCTTAGGCTGCTGCTGGTACTGGTGGTGGTGCTGGTGTTGGTTTTGGTTCTGATGCTTTTGCTAGACCCGGTGCTTGGGCTGGTGATGGTGCTGGTGCTGCTGCTGGTGCTGGTGATGGTGCTGTTGCTTGTGCTTGACCTTGTGCTTTTGCTGGTGTTGGTGCTGGTGCTGGCGCTTGTGCCTGTTCTGGTGCTTAGGCTGGTGTTGGTGCTGGTGTTGGTGGTGGTGCTGATGCTTGTGCTGGATCCGATGCTTATGCTGGTGTTGGTGCTGGTGTTGGTGATAGTGCTGGTGCTGGTGCTTAGGCTGGTGCTTAGGCTGGTGCTTAGGCTGGTGCTTAGGCTGGTGCTTAGGCTGGTGCTTAGGCTGGTGCTTAGGCTGTTGCTGGTGCTGATGCTGTTGCTTTTTGCTGGTACCTTGGCCTGTGCAAGCGCTCGTGCTGGTGCCTGTACTAGTGATGGAGGTGGTGCTGGTGCCGGTTCAGGTGCCTGTGCTGTTGCATTAAATGATGCTGGAGCTTGTTCCTGTCCAGGTGCTTAGGCTGGTGCTTGTGCTGGTGGTGGTGCTGCTGGTGGCGCTGGTGCTGGGGGTGGTGCTGGTGCTTGTTCTTGACCCAGTGCTTGTGCTGATGTTGGTGCTGGTGCTGGCGCTTGTGCTTGTCTTGGTGCTTAGGCAGGTGCTGGTGCTGGTGCTGGTGATGCTGCTGGTGCTGGTGCTTGAACTAGACCCGGTGCTTGTGCTAATGCTAGTGCTGGTGCCTGTGCCGTTGCTTTTGCTAATGCTGGCGCTTGTGCCTTTCTGGTGCTTAGGCTAGTGCTGTTGCTGCTGCTGGGGAAGGTGCTGGAGGTGGTGCTTGTTCTTGTGCTGGACCCGTTGCTTTAGCTGGTGCTGGTGCTGGTGCTGGTGCTGGTGCCTGTGCCGTTGCTTTTGCTGATGCTGGCGCTTGTGCCTTTCTGGTGCTTAGGCTGGTGCTGGTGCTGGTGTTGGTGCTGGTGGTGGTGTTGGTGCTTTAGAAAAGGCTTGTGCTGGTGCTCGGCGCTTGTGCTGCTGGTGCTGGTGCTAGTGCTGGTGCCTGTGCCGTTGGTCTTGATGATGCTGGCGTTTTTGCCTGTCCTAATGCCTCTACTAGTGCTGAAGCTGGTGCTGGTTTTGCTGCTGGTGCTGGTGCATCTGCTGTTGCTGGTGCTGATACTGTTGCTTCTGCTTGTGCCTGGGCTGGTGGCGGCTCTTGTACTGGTGCCTGTACTAGTACTGGAGCTAGTGCTGTTGCTGGTTCTGGTTCTGGTGCTGGTGCTGGTGCTTGTGCTGGTGTTGGTGGTGCTGGTGCCTGTACCGTTGCTTGTGATTGTGCTGGTGTTTGTGCTGGTGCCTGTACCGTTGCTTGTGCTTGTGCAGATGTTTGTGCTGGTGCTGGTGCCTGTGCTGGTGGTGATGTTGATGCTGGTGCTGGTGCTTGTGCTGGTGCTGGTGTTGGTGCTGTTGCTAGTGCTGATGCTAATACTTGTGCTTCACCCAGTTCTTGTGCTGGTGCTGGTGCTGGTGCTTCTGCCTGTCTTGGTGCTTAGGCCGGTGCTGGTCTGGGTGGTGGTGCTGGTGCTGGTGCTGGTGCTTGTGCTTGACCCAGTGCTTGTGCTAGTGTTGGTGCTGGTGTTTGCGCTTGTGCCTGTCCTGGTGCTCAGGCTGGTGGTTGTGCTGGTGCTGGTGGTGGTGCTGGTGTTGGTGGTGGTGCTGATGATTATGTTGGACCCGGTGCTTGGGCTGGTGATGGTGCTGGTGCTGATGTTGGTGCTGGTGCTTATACTGGTGCCTGGGCCGGTACTGGCACTTGTGCTTGTTCCTGTATTAGTGCTGGACCCTGGGCCGGTGCTTGTAGTGGTGCTGGTGATGGTGTTGGAGCTCGTGGTAGTGCTGGTGCTTGCTCTTGACCCTGTCGTTGTGCTGGTGTTGATGCTGGTGCTGGCTCTTTTGGCTTTCCTGGAGCTTTGGCTGGTACTGTTGCTGGTGGTGGTACTGATAGTGGTGCTGGTGCTTTCGCTGGTGCGTGGGCGGTAATGGCACTTGTGCTGGTGCCTTTACTAGTTTTATAGCTGGTGCTGGTGTTGGTGCTTAGGCTGGTGCAGCTACTGGGGGTGGTGTTTGTGCTGGTGCTGTTACTGGTGCCTGTGCTGGTGGCTGAGCTGGTGCCTATGCTGGTGTCTGTACTAGTGCTGGAGCTGGTGCTGGTGCTGAAGCTTGTGCATGTGCTTGTATGTTTCTTGTTCCGTTGCTGTTGCTGGAGCTGGTGCTGGTACTGGCGCTTGTGCCTGTCCTGGTGCTTAGGCTGGTGCTCATGGTGGTGGTGGTGCTGGTGTCCCTGTGCTTGGGCTGGCGATGGTGCTGGTGCTGGTGCTGATGTTGGTGCTGGTGCTGGTGCTGGTACTGGTGCTGGTGCTGGTGCTGGTGCTGGTGCTGGTGCTGGTGCCTGGGCCGGTACCGGCAATTGTGCTTGTCCCTGTATAAGTGCTGGACCCTGGGCCGGTGCCGGCGGTTGTGATGCTGCCTGTATTAGTAAAAGAGCTGGTGCTGGTGCTAGTGCTGGTGCTGGTGCCTGTGCCGTTGCTTTTGTTGATGGTGGCAATTGTGGCTGTCCTTGTGCTTAGGCTGATCCTCGTGCTAGTTCTGGTGCTGGTGCTTGTGCTTGACCCAGTGCTTGTGCTGGTGTTGGTGCTGGTAATGCTGCTGGTGCTGGTGCTGGTACTGGTGCTAAGGCTGGTGCTGGTGCTGATGCTGTTGTATCTGCTTGAGCCTGGGCTGGTGGCGGCGCATGTTGTGGTGCCTGTACTAGTAAAAAGGGTGGTGCTGGTGCTTCTTCTTGACCCAGTGCTTGTGCTGGCGCTGGTGCTGGTGTTGGTAATGGTGCTGGCGCTGGTGCTGGTGCTGGTGCTTAGGCTGGTGCTTAGGCTCTTGCTGGTGCTGATGCTGTTGCTTTTACTGATGCTGGCGCTTGTGCCTTTCTGGTGCTTAGGCTGGTGCTGGTGCTGGTGTTGGTGCTGGTGGTGGTGTTGGTGCTTTAGAAAAGGCTTGTGCTGGTGCTCGGTGCTTGTGCCTGTCCTGGTGCTTGTGCTGGTTGTGTTGCTGGTTCTGGTGGTGCTGCTGTTGCTTGTGCTGGACCCGCTTCTTGTGCTGGTCCTGGTCCTGGTCCTGGTCCTGGTTCTGGTCCTGCTCCTGGTCCGGGTCCTGGTCCTGGTCCTGGTCCTGGTCCTGGTCCTGGTCCTTGTCCTGGTCCTGGTCTTGGTCTTGGTCCTGGTCCTGGTCCTGGTCCTTGTGCTGCTGCTGGTGCTGGTCCTGGTGCTGGAGCTGGGTTTGGTGCTGGTGCCTGTGCAGTTGCTTTTGCTGATGGTGGCAATTGTGACTTTCCTGGTGCTCAGGCTGCTGCTGGTACTGGTGGTGGTGCTGGTGTTGGTTTTGGTGCTGATGCTTTTGCTGGACCCGGTGCTTGGGCTGGTGATGGTGCTGGTGCTGCGTCTGGTGCTGGTGATGGTGCTGTTGCTTGTGCTTGACCTTGTGCTTTTGCTGGTGTTGTTGCTGGTGCTGGCGCTTGTGCCTGTCCTGGTGCTTAGGCTGGTGCTGGTGCTGGTGCTGGTGTTGGTGCTGGTGTTGGTGGTGGTGCTGATGCTTGTGCTGGATCCGATGCTTATGCTGGTGTTGGTGCTGGTGTTGGTGATAGTGCTGGTGCTGGTGCTTAGGCTGGTGCTTAGGCTGGTGCTTAGGCTGGTGCTTAGGCTGGTGCTTAGGCTGGTGCTTAGGCTGGTGCTTAGGTTGTTGCTGGTGCTGATGCTGTTGCTTCTTTCTGGTACCTGGGCCTGTGCCAGCGCTCTAGCTGGTGCATGTACTAGTGATGGAGGTGGTGCTGGTGCCGGTTCAGGTGCCTGTGCTGTTGCATTTAATGATGCTGGAGCTTGTTCCTGTCCAGGTGCTTAGGCTGTTGCTTGTGCTGGTGGTGGTGCTGCTGGTGGCGCTGGTACTGGGGGTGGTGCTGGTGCTTCTTCTTGACCCAGTTCTTGTGCTGATGTTGGTGCTGGTGTTGGCGCTTGTGCTTGTCTTGGTGCTTAGGCAGGTGCTGGTGCTGGTGCTGGTGATGCTGCTTGTGCTGGTGCTTGTACTAGGCCCGGTGCTTGTGCTGGTGCTAGTGCTGGTGCCTGTGCGGTTGCTTTTGCTGATGGTGGCAATTGTGACTGTCCTGGTGCTTAGGCTGGTCTTGGTGCTGGTGCTGGTTCTGGTGCTGGTGCTTGCGCTTGACCCAGTGCTTGTGCTGGTGTTGGTGCTGGTGCTGGTGCTTGTGCTGGACCCGGTGCTTTTGCTGGTGCTGGAGCTGGTGCTGGTGCTAGTGCTGGATTTTGTGCTTAGGCTGCTGATGGTTCTGGTGGTGGGTCTGGTTTTGTTGCTTGTGCTTGACCCAGAGCTTGTGCTGGTGTTAATGCTGGAGATGGCTCTTCTTGCTTTCCTGGTGCTTAGGCTGGTACTGGTGGTGCTGGTGCTGGTGGTGGTGCTGGTGCTTGTGCTAGTTTTGGTCCTGGTGCTGGTGCTGGCGCTTGTGCCTGTCCTGGTGCTTAGGCTGGTGCTGTTGCTGCTGCTGGGGCAGGTGCTGGAGGTGGTGCTTGTTCTTCTGCTGGACCCGTTGATTTAGCTGGTGCTGGTGCTGATGCTGGTGCCTGTGCCTTTGCTTTGCTGATGCTGGTGCTTGTGCCTTTCTGGTGCTTAGGCTTGTGCTGGTGCTGGTGTTGGTGCTTTAGTAAGGGCTTGTGCTAGTGTTAGGCGCTTGTGCCTGTCCTGGTGCTCGTGCTGGTTGTGTTGCTGGTACTGGTGGTGGTGCTGCTGCTTGTGCTGGACCCGCTTCTTGTTCTGATCCTGGTCCTGGTCCTGGTCTTGGTCCTGGTTCTGGTCCTGGTCCTTGTCCTGGTCCTGGTCCTGGTCCTGGTCCTGGTCCTGGTCCTGGCCTTGGTCCTGGTGCTGGTGCTGGTGCTGGTGCTGCTGCTGGTGCTGGTGCTGGTCTTTGTGCTGGAGCTGGGACTGGTGCTGGTGCCTGTGCGGTTGCTTTTGCTGATGGTGGCAATTGGGACTGTCCTGGTGCTTAGGCTGGTCCTGGTGCTGGTTCTGGTGTTGGTGCTTGTTCTTGTCCCAGTGCTAGTGCTGCTGTTGGTGCTGGTGCTGGCGCCTGTGCTTGTCCTGGTGCTTAGGCAGGTGCTGGTGCTGGTGCTGCTGATGGTGCTGGTGCTGGTGCTTATACTAGACCCGGTGCTTGTGCTGTTGCTAGTGCTGGTGCCTGTGCTGATGGTGATGTCTATGCTGGTTCTGGTGCTTGTTCCTGTGCTTCTGCCTATACTAGTGCTGGTGTTTGTGCTGGACCTGGTGCTTCTGTTGGTTCTGACGCTGGAGCGGGTGATAGTGCTGGTGCTTGTGTTGGTGTTGATGCTGGCGCTGGTGCTTGTGCTTCTACCTGTCTTGGTGGTTAGGCTGGTCCTGGTGCTGGTGCTGGTTCTTGAGCTGGTGTTTGTGCTTGACCCAATGCTTGTGCTGCTGTTGGTGCTGGTGCTGGTGCTGGTGCTGATGCTGGTCCTGGTGCTAGTGCTGGTGCTGGTGCTAGTTCTGGTGCTTAGGCTGGTGCTGCTGCTGGTGCTGGGGCTGGGACTGGTGCTGGATCCTGTGCTTTTGCTTTTGCTGATGGTGGCAATTGTGCCTGTCCTGGTGCTTAGGCTGGTCCTGGTGCTGGTGCTGGTTCTGGTGCTTGTGCTTGACCCAGTGCTTGTGCTGGTGTTGGTGCTGGTGTTGGTGCTGGTGTTGGTGCTGGTGCTGGTGCTGGTACTGGTGCTAAGGCTGGTGCTGGTGCTCATGCTGTTGTATCTGCTTGAGCCTGGGCTGGTGGCGGCGCTTGTTCTGGTGCCTGTACTAGTAAAAGAGCTGGAGCTGGTGCTGTTGCTGGTTCTGGTCCTGGTGCTGGTGGTGCTGGTGCTAGTGCCTGTGCCGTTGCTTGTGCTTGTGCTGGTGTTTGTGCTGGTGCTGGTGCCTGTGCTGATGGTGGTGTTGATGCTGGTTCTGGTGCTTGTGCCTGTGCTTTTGCCTATACTACTGCTGGTGTTTGTGCTGGACCTGGTGCTTATGTTGGTTCTGACGCTGGAGCGGGTGATAGTGCTGGTGCTTGTGTTGGTGCTGATGCTGGTGCTGGTGCTTGTGCTTCTACCTGTCTTGGTGCTCAGGCTGGTCCTGGTCCTGGTGCTGGTTCTGGTGCTGGTGTTTGTGCTTGACTCAATGCTTGTGCTGCTGTTGGTGCTGGTGCTGGTGCTGGTGCTTGTGCTTGACCCAGTGCTTGTGCTGGTGTTGGTGCTGGTGTTGCTGATGGTGCTGGTGCTGGTGCTGGTGCCTGCAAATGGTTGTGCTGGTGATATTGCTCGTGCTGGTGCTGGTGCTAGTGCTGGATTTTGTGCTTAGGCTGCTGCTGGTTCTGGTGGTGGGTCTGGTTTTGTTGCTTGTGCTTGACCCAGAGCTTGTGCTGGTGTTAATGCTGGAGATGGCTCTTCTTGCTTTCCTGGTGCTTAGGCTGGTACTGGCGGTGCTGGTGCTGGTGGTGGTGCTGGTGCTTGTGCTAGTTTTGGTCCTGGTGCTGGTGCTGGCGCTTGTGCCTGTCCTGGTGCTTAGGCTGGTGCTAATGCTGCTGCTGGGGCAGGTGCTGGAGGTGGTGCTTGTTCTTGTGCTCGACCCGTTGCTTTAGCTGGTGCTGGTGCTGATGCTGGTGCCTGTGCCTTTGCTTTTGCTGATGCTGGTGCTTGTGCCTTTCTGGTGCTTAGGCTGGTGCTGGTGCTGGTGTTGGTGCTTTACTAAGTGCTTGTGCTAGTGTTAGGCGCTTGTGCCTGTCCTGGTGCTCCTGCTGGTTGTGTTGCTGGTACTGGTGGTGGTGCTGCTGCTTGTGCTGGACCCGCTTCTTGTGCTGGTCCTGGTCCTGGTCCTGGTCCTTGTCCTGGTCTTGGTCCTGGTCCTGGTTCTGGTCCAGGTCCTGGTCCTGGTCCTGGTCCTGGTCCTGGTCCTGGTCCTGGTCCTGGTCCTGGTCCTGGTCCTGGTCCTGGTCCTGGCCTTGGTCCTGGTGCTGGTGCTTGTGCTGGTGCTAGTGCTGCTGCTGGTGCTGGTGCTGGTCTTGGTGCTGGATCTGGGACGGGTGCTGGTGCCTGTGCGGTTGCTTTTGCTGATGGTGGCAATTGCGACTGTCCTGGTGCTTAGGCTGGTCCTGGTGCTGGTTCTGGTGCTGGTGTTTGTGCTTGACCCAGTGCTTGTGCTGGTGTTGGTGCTGGTAATGGTGCTGGGGCTGGTGCTTGTGCTTGACCCAGTGCTTGTGCTGGTGTTGGTGCTGGTGTTGGTGATGGTGCTGGTGCTTAGGCTGGTGCTTAGTCTGGTGCTGGTGTTGATGCTGTTGCTTTTTGCTGGTACCTGGGCCGGTGCCAACGCTTGCGCTGGTGCTCAGGCTGCTGCTGGTACTAGTGGTGGTGCTGGTGTTGGTTTTGGTGCTGATGCTTTTGCTGGACCCGGTACTTGAGCTGGTGATGGTGCTGGTGCTGCTGCTGGTGCTGGTGATGGTGCTGTTGCTTGTGCTTGACCTTGTGCTTTTGCTGGTGTTGTTGCTGGTGCTGGCGCTTGTGCCTGTCCTGGTGCTTAGGCTGGTGCTGGTGCTGGTGCTGGTGTTGGTGCTGGTGTTGGTGGTGGTGCTGATGCTTGTGCTGGATCCGATGCTTATGCTGGTGTTGGTGCTGGTGTTGGTGATAGTGCTGGTGCTGGTGCTTAGGCTGGTGCTTAGGCTGGTGCTTAGGCTGGTGCTTAGGCTGGTGCTTAGGCTGTTGCTGGTGCTGATGCTGTTGCTTTTTGCTGGTACCTGGGCCTGTGCCAGCGCTCGTGCTGGTGCCTGTACTAGTGATGGAGGTGGTGCTGGTGCCGGTTCAGGTGCCTGTGCTGTTGCATTAAATGATGCTGGAGCTTGTTCCTGTCCAGGTGCTTAGGCTGTTGCTTGTGCTGGTGGTGGTGCTGCTGGTGGCACTGGTGCTGGGGCTGGTGCTGGTGCTTCTTCTTGACCCAGTGCTTGTGCTGCTGTTGGTGCTGGTGCTGGATCTTGTGCCTGTCCTGGTGCTTAGGTTGGTGCTGGTCCTGGTGCTAGTTCTGGTGCTTAGGCTGGTCCTGGTGCTGGTTCTGGTGCTGGTGTTTGTGCTTGACGCAGTACTTGTGCTGGTGTTCGTGCTGGTAATGGTGCTGGTGCTTGTGCTTGACCCAGTGCTTGTGCTGGTGTTGGTGCTGGTGCTGGTGCTGGCGCTGGTGCTGGCGCTGGTGCTCGAGCTGTTGGTGGTGCTGGTGCTGGTGCTTAGGCTGGTGCTGGTGCTGGTGGTGGTACTGCTGCTTGTGTTTGACCCAGTGCTTGTGTTGGTGTTGGTGCTGGTGCTGGTGCTGGCGCTGGTGCTGGTGCTGGTTGTGGTGGTGGTGCTTGAGCTTGACCCAGTGCTTGTGCTGCTGTTGGTGCTGGTGCTGGAGCTTGTGCCTGTCCTGGTGCTTAGGTTGGTGCTGGTCGTGGTGCTAGTTCTGGTGCTTGGGCTGGTGCTGCTGCTGGTGCTGGAGCTGGGACTGATGCTGGTGCCTCTGCGGTTGCTTTTGCGGATGGTGGCAATTGTTTCCTGTCCTGGTGCTTAGGCTGGTCCTGGTGCTTAGGCTGGTCCTGGTGCTGGTGCTGGTTCTGGTGCTGGTGTTTGTACTTGACCCAGTGCTTGTGCATGTGTTGGTGCTGGTAATGGTGCTGGTGCTTGTGCTTGACCCAGTGCTTTTGCTGGTGTTAACGCTGGTGTTTGTGATGGTGCTGGTGCTGGTGCTTAGGCTGGTGCTTAGGCTATTGCTGATGCTGTTGCTTCATGCTGGTACCTGGGCCGGTGCCAGCGCTCGTGCTGGTGCCTGTACTAGTGATGGAGGTGGTGCTGGTGCCGGTTTAGGTGCCTGTGCTGTTGCATTAAATGATGCTCTAGCTTGTTCCTGTCCAGGTGCTTAGGCTGGTGCTTGTGCTGGTGGTGGTACTGCTGGTGGCGCTGGTGCTGGGAGTGGTGCTGGTGCTTGTTCTTGACCCAGTGCTAGTGCTGATGTTGGTGCTGGTGCTGGTGCTTGTGCTGGTTCTCGCACCAGTGCTTGTGCTGGAACTGGTGCTAGATCTGGTTTTGGTGCTGGTGGTAATATTGGTGCTGGTGCAGGTTCCTGTGCTAGTGCTGGTGGTTGTTTTGGCGCTGGTGCTTGTGCTGACGCTCGTACCTTGAACTTGGGCCAGTGCCAGTGCTTCTGCTGGTTTTGGTTCTGGTTCTAAGGCTAGTGCTGCTGCAGGCGGTGGTATCTGTCGTGGTCTGGTGCTGGTGCTGGTAGTGATGCTGGTGGTGGTGGTTTTGGTGCTGGTGCTTTTGATTGAGCCTGTGCTTGTGCTGGTGCTGATGCTGGTGCTGGTTCGTGTGCCGTTGTTGTTGCTGATGCTGGCGCTTGTGCCTGTCCTGGTGCTTAGGCTGGTGCTAGTGCTGGTGCTCGTGCTGGTGGTGGTGGTGGTGCTTGTGCTTGACCTAGTGCTAGTGCTGGTGTTAATGCTGGTGTTGGTTCTTGTGCCTGTCCTGGTGCTTAGGCTGGTGGTGGTGCTGATGCTTGTGCTTGACCTGGTGCTTGGGCTGGTGTCTGGGCCGGTACTGGCACTTGTGCTTGTGCCTGTATTAGTGCTGGAGCCTGAAACAGTGCCGGCGCTTGTGCTGCTGCCTGTACTAGTAAAAGAGCTGCTGTGGGGGTTGGTACTATTGCTGGTGCTGCTGCCTGTGCCGTTGCTTTTGCTGATGCTGGCACTTCTGCCTGTCCTGATGCCTGTTCTATTGCTGAAGCTGGAGCTGGTTCTGATGCCTGTGCTGGTGCCTGTGCTGGTGCCTGTGCTGGTGCCTGTGCTGGTGCCTGTGCTGGTGCCTGTGCTGGTGCCTGTGCTGGTGCCTGTGCTGGTGCTGGTGCTGGTGCTTGGTCTTGTACTGGTGCTTGTAAAAGGGCTTGTGCTGGTGCTGGTGCTGGTGGTGGTGCTGGTGCTGGTGCCGGTGCCTGCGCTTGTGCTGTAGGTGGTTGGTCTGGGTGCTTGTTCTCGTGCTGCTGCTTGTGCTGGTGCCTGATTTAGTGCTAGTGCCTGAGCTAGTGCCTCCTCTTATGCTGGTACCTGTACTAATGCTAGAGCTGGTGCTGGTGGTGGTGCTGTTGCTTGTGCTTGACCCAGTGCCTATGCTGGTGTTGGTGCTGGTGCTGGCTCTTGTTCCTGTCCTGGTACTTAGGCTGGGACTGGTGCTGGTGGTGGTGCTGGTAGTGGTACTGGAGCTGGTGCTTGTACTGGTTTTTGTTCTAATGCTTGTGTTGGTGCTGGTGCTTATGTTGGCACTTGTAGAGGTGCCGGTGCTGATGCTGGTGGTGGTGCTGGTACTCGTGTTTAACCCAGTGCTTGTGCTGTTGTTGTTTTTCGTGCTGGCACTTTTTCCTGTCCTGGAGTTTAGGCTGGTGCTGGTGATGGCGCTAGTGACGGTGCTGGTACTTGTGTGGGATCTGTTGCTTGTCGTGGTGTTGGTGCTGGTGCTGGAGCTTGTGCTGGTTCCTGTGCTGGTGCCTGTGGTAGTGCCTGTACTAGTGCTGGTGCTGGTGCTGGTGCTGGTGCTTGTTCTTGTACTGGTGCTTGTACAAGGGCTGGTGCTGGAGCTGGTGCTGGTGCTGGTGCCTGTGCTGGTGCTGTAGGTGTTATCGGTCCTGGTGCTTGTTCTCGTGCTGGTGCTTCTGCTGGTGCCTGATTTAGTGCTGGTGCCTGGGCTGGTGCCTGTGTTTATGCTGGTACCTGTACTAATGCTAGAGCTGGTGCTGGTGCTGGTGCTGTTGCTTGTCTCCTGTTGGTGCTGGTGCTGGCGCTTGCGCCTGTCCTGGTGCTTAGATTGGTGCTGGTGCTGGTGGTGGTGCTAGAGGTGCGGCTGGTTCTTGTGCTGGTCCTGGTGATTTTGCTGGTGCTGGTGCTGGTGCTTGTTCTGGTGCCTGGGCCGGTACTGGCGCTTGTGCTGGTGCCTGTACTAGTGCTGGATCTGGTGCTGGTGCTGGAGCCTGTGTCAATGCTTTTGATGATGCTGGCACTTGTGCCTGTCCTGATGCTTAGGCTGGTAATGGTGGTGATGCTGGTGGTGGTGCTGGTACTTGTCTTGGATCAGTTGCTTGTTGTGGTGCTGGTGCTGGTGCTTGGTGTTAGTGCTGGTGCTGGCGCATATGCCTGTCCTGGTGCTTAGGCTGGAGCTAGTGCTGGTGCTGGAGCTGGTGTTGGTGCTTGTGCTGGTGCTTTGGCCGGTACTAGCACTTGTGCTGCTGCTTGTACTAGTAAAAGAGTGATGATGCTGGTGTTAGTGCCGCTGGTGCTGGTGATGATGCTGGTGCTGGTGCTTGTGCCTGTACTGGTGTTTAGGCTGGTGCTGGTGCTAGTGCTGGTACTGGTGTCAGAGCTGGTGCTTCTGCTTGACCCGGTGCTTGTGCTGGTGTTGGTGTTGGCGCTTCTGCCTGTCCTGGTGCTTAGGCTTGTGCTGGTGCTGGTGCTGGTGCTGGTGTTGGTGGTGGTGCTGATGCTTGTGCTGGACCTGGTGCTTGGGCTGGTGATGGTTCTGGTGCTGATGCTGGTGCTGATGCTGGTGCTGGTGCTGCTGCTGGTGCTTATATAATAATAATATATATAAATAATAAATAATTTGTTTAAAGTTGGCGTACTAAATGAACGGTTGATAGCTATAAAGAAGCTAATTAAGGCCAACTATCTAATAAGAGTTAGTATGAAATAAAAATATATGATACAATATTAAAAAGGTTTAAGGTATAATGTTCTAAATAAAACCTAACCCAGCAATAAATTTTTTACACAATCTACAGTCGCATTCTATAGGGTGTGCTCTTAATTCTTTTTTAAATGTTGCCAATGATTGGGACTCTCTTATACTGTGAGGTAGTGTTTGCCACAGTTTTTGACCTAAATATCTCGCAGTTTCTATACCATAAGAAGTTGTCCTGGCTTTTGGAATGCAAAGATTATTTTTAGTTCGCAAGTCATAATGTACATTTCTTGTTTCAAAAATCTCACTCATGAAACTAGGGTTCAGGTTATGTTTGGTTTTGTATATTTCTATCATCAAGTACTGTAGATTGCGTTGGTGAATTGATACTGCATTATCCAAAGTCAGCAATGCTTCGTAGTCAGCATGACTGTCTTTATAAACAATTCTGAGTGCTCTTTCGTGGATTTTATTTACTTTAGCATTCAGACATCTGTCATGGAACATCCAAATTAGGGGGCAGTAACTAAACTGAGCTTTTATGAAGCTGTTCATTAGGAGACGCAGTTTATCAGAGCCCATAAATGGCGAAACTCTAGCAAGAGCATGCAGTTTTTGGCTGGCTCTTTTGCATAAATTTGAGACGTGACTTTTGAAATTAAGATTTTTATCTATTATCACCCCTAGCAGTTTTTCTTCAGAGCTTTCTTCAACAATGGCCTCACCGATTTTGATCTTAAAGTCATCTTGATTTGTTCCAAAAGTAAGAAGATGACATTTCCCTGCATTCAATTTCATAAAGTTTTCTGGAAACCATTTTGATAAAATAAGAGCATCAGTTTCTAGCCGTTCTAAAACTTTATCTAATTGACAGTCAGCTGCAAAAATCGTAGTATCATCAGCAAAGTTACATACTGCAGTATCAGTTACCATTAAGAATAAATCATTAATATATAAATTAAAGAGAAGAGGCCCAAGGACTGATCCTTGTGGTACACCTGCAAAGGTTTCTCGCCAAGTGCTGAATGAACCATTTAATTTTACCCTTTGTCTTCTACCGGACAGGTAAATATAAATCAATAATTGAGCATCTTTACAAAAACCATAGGCATTTAATTTCGCAATTAATAGCTCATGGTCTATGCAATCAAACGCTTTTGAGAGATCCATTAGCAAGGCACCAACCACCCCTTTTTTATCTAGGGAATTCTTGCAGATATCCATTAATCTCAACAGCGCATGCTGTGTGTTGAAACCTTTCCGAAAACCACATAAGTAGGGAACTAGGAACGTATCCGCGAAGTCGACCATCTGAGCATATAGAAGCCGTTCAAAGACCTTTGATAATGCGGATAGAACGGTGATAGGTCGATAGTTTCGTTTTTCTGTAGTTTTGTCACTTTTGAATAGTGGAGTTATGTCTCCTAATTTAAGATCTTCAGGAAACGGTTTCTGGAGCAATGAATTATTGAAAATTGTCGTCAGTAATGGTGCAAAAATGTCTTCGTTTTCTTTCAGTATCCGCGGAGGAATACTTTCAATTGTAGACGCTTTTTTTGTATTTAGTCTCAATAATTCATCATTGACTGCCTGCATTGTAATTGGTTTGAATTCGAAGAATGTGCCATGGTTTACCTTATCCTTAATCTTGCGGATGCTGGGATGATGTTTATATTTTTCAACAGCAATTTCAACAGGATCCAGCAAATGGTCTGTCGAATTGAGAATGCATTCACCAGGGGCAATGTCAATTGTCTTTGTGATATTTGTAAAAAATTCATTAAGGATCTCAGCTATTTCACTGTCATTCGTAATAAACTTTTCATTTTCGATAAGCGTAATACTTGAAGAGGTTTGTACCTTGTCAGTAAAAAGTGGTTTTACAGTTTTCCAGAACTTTTTATTGTCAGTGACAGAATTTATATCAAGGTTACCATAATATGATGTTTTTGCTTGTCGCAGAATTTTCACACACCTATTTCTTTGCTTTTTAAAAGCGTTCCAGTTTTCAGAAGTATTATGCCTGTTTAATCTGTTACGTAACTGTGAACGGAGCATAATTACCTTTCTCAAAGTTTTCGTCATGAAGGGTGCATCATTTGCGCGTAAATATTTCTGTTTTAGAGGTACATGGTTATTCAGAACTTCTTCGACTACAGAATTAAAATTTTCATATTCAGAGTATGCTTCGCTGCTCTTAGCTAGATTGCTTCTAAGGTCACTGCGAAACTTTATAGGATCAAATTTACTGTAGTCTCGGTATGTCACAATCCTTGGACCTCTTTTTACAAAACCACTCTTTAACACTGTTAGTATCATTAGATGAAAATCAGACAATCCCACTTCTATTGTCGTAGTGTTTTGAAAACCAGAGGTTTTATTCGTTAGAAACATATCAATGGAAGAGGGATTGTCAGCAGATTTATAACAAGTGGGACTTTTTATTAGATTTTTTAATCCATAGATATCCATGAAATTGCTAATTTCATAATTTTTCTCTTCCGAATTTAAATCTCCAATAATGACGAAGTTTTCGTATCGAGGTGTAAGTTGGTCAAGCACTTTGCCCATCTCTGCGAAGAAAATTTTTCACATTGAGAAGGGGGGCGGTAGGTACTGATCAATGCCCATTTTTTCTTGCCCACATTAATTTCAGTTAATACACATTCAATTGAATTGGCGATGTTCACCAGTTTAATTTCATTTGCTGGAACTTTTTCTCTGATATAAACCAGAATCCCACCACCGTTTGTATTTCTATCATAACGGAAGGGTTTTTTGAAACCATCAATTAAAAACTGACTAGTAGGAAAGGATTCGTCTAATTTGGTTTCAGAAACTGCGAGGATGTCAACATTTTTTGCAATCAGGGTTTTGAGATCCTCTATTTTGTTTCGGATTGAGTTTATATTTAGATGTGCCACAATTAGGCCTCTCTTGTTTTTGTTCCTAATAGTTGATAGATTGGCAAGGGGGTTAATATCTTCGGTATCAGAACTAGCAATTTCATTGGTATTTTGATTTTCTAAATTAGGACAAATGTACTTAGCTGTATGAGTCCCATCATCACGTCACTGAGCTTTGAGATATTTAATAAGGTTATTGGCAAGAAGGACTGTGCCCATTCTATTGAGGTGCAAAGCACTTCCATTTAGGTGCTTAGTTGTATCGATGTTTTGATGCTCGATGAGATCTAAACTATTTTCTCCGCACAGGGTTTTCAATTTTTCGTTTACAGTTTTTGCTTTTGTATTTAACGTTGAATCGTCACCTCGAGATATAATAGCTGATACAACAACTTCATTTGCTCCGTTTCTTAAATCAGCTGCCAGATCACAGATTTCAGATGCAATTTCATCAGCTGGCTTGTTTGTTCCCAGCGAGTTGGTCCCACATGAAGAACGACAATGTCTGGGTTTTTTTTCATTGGTGGTTTTGAGTAATCTGCCATGTCTTCAACATTTGCTCCGCTGAAAGATTTGACATAGACATTCTGCCCATTTCGCAGAGATCCTTTCAATTTTCTCCCATCCAAGTGCTTAAGTATGGAGTCGCCAATAATAAGGATATTCTTCTTGTTCCTTTTGTTCTCCGCTCTGCTTTGGATTTTCTTTGTTGTCCTTCTCTCTTTTGCTGTTTGCACTTCGCTGGCTTCCGTACTGCGAGTTTGAGTATGGTTTTTGGATGTTTCCAAATCGCTTGACTCATCATCGCTTGACAGAAGGGCAAAGCGATTTTGCCACGCTAAGGGATTTCTGCTTGCAGATTTTGCAACGTCCTTTGATACTTGGGAATATGCAACTTTTGGTGTTTTAACTTTGTACCTGGGCCTTTGGGATATCTTGTCATGCCCATAAATATCTTTGGCTTGTTTTCTTTCAGTTTCTGCCTTCTTTGTCAGGCTCCTTGTTATTATTGGACTCACATGTGCTTCACTTTTTCCTGCCAATTTCTGTATTCCGCTGGGAGAAGGTCTCATTTCGTTGTCAAGACAGCTTTTGCTTCCATCAATTGTTTTGACTTCAAATCTAGGCCCTTCCAACAGACCTTCAATAATTTTCTGTTTGTCAAACAGCTGCTGCTCCAAAGAGATAATGCGGTCTTGAAGACATTTTAGCAACGCTTCCCTATCACTTTCAGAAGGGTCTATACTTGGTCTATTAGCAGTTTGGGCCTTTAATAGTAGAATTTCTCCATGTGAGAATCTTTTGAATTCCTCGAGTTCTGCTTGGATCCTCTTAAAGTCGCCGACGTTTACATAACCCTTCGACTTTGGCCATTCAGAATCTCTTTCGGAGGTTGGGTTAAAATCTTCATTCTCAGTGTCTATATTTTCCTGGTCTTTGATACGATAGGAAACTTTGTTGTGGGACATGGTAGTGTATAATTTCCCCTCGTTTACCGCTTGATCCAAGATGGCGACTGTCTTTGTTTTGTCCCAACCATGTTTCGACAAGCAGAAGCTAGCGATTGAATCCATATGTCTTCCTTTGCTTGTACTCCTTAGAATTTCTGTAGCTTCCATAACAGTTTCAATGTCTGTTGCCATTTGAAATATGAGTGAATTTGCAATGAAAAGAGTATTTCTTAGAGCGCATAAAAGCCACGTCCTACCAGCTTCGAACTCCGAACCGAATTTGAACCCCCATTATGAATTAATTGGGACTGACCATCTCATGAACCATTCTGAAAACTGTACGTAGATATTTTGTCCGACTTGCGGAGACAAAGTTCTTCGAAAACATTTGACAAGGAGAACTCAGAACTGCAATTCAACAATGGAATCAGAACCGGGTGCACAAATGTCTTCTTCAGAAGCACATCAAGTGGATATTCAACCCTCCAACAGCTTCGCATATGGGTAGTGTATGGGAACGAGCAATAAGATCAGTGAGGCGAGTTTTGATTGCGATCTTTGCATTCTGAAAATTGTATTTGGTTGGGTGAGACCTGTCAGAAGCATATAGGTCTTTAGAAGAACCTAAAGACCAAGAGTATGAGGGATAGAAGGTGCAGAGAGAGTATTATGAACTGTTTTTTGGCGGTACAGAACTTGAAAATGGCTTTGATAAAAGCAACAATTTTGTAACATATTGGGTAAAAGCTTTTTCGTCTGACACTCCTCAGAGCATAAACGTCAGAATAAGGGTCCAAAAGAACACGAAAATGCAAGCACAAGACCGGTATAGTTGTCCAATCAGTGCCGTTTAGTGTGCCTAAAGAAAATCTTCCATTGGAGTCCAAGAGAGAAAACGAACTCCTTTTGTCTACACAATTGCGGTGTGATATGCGTTTTGGTCCCCTCATGCGAAAGTGTCTGGGGGGACCGAAACGCACAACAAAACGACACTATGCAAAAGTCCCCCCTCTATAAAGCAATAGGGGGACACTTTTGCATAACAAAACTGTATGCGAAAGTGTCTGAGGGGACTGAAACACATGGCAAAACGACAATATTCAAAAGTGTCTCCTCTATAGAAAACTATAAGACAATAGGGGGACACTTGCCTGAAAACTGATTGCCCTATCCAAAACATCTATGCAAGAGGTCAATAATTGAAATATCGATCTGGTTAAATAATTCATCAAAGTGTCTTATTGATAACTAAGGAATATAAAACACGATTGCCTTTCTTCAAATTTGTAATGGTATAACTATTGCTTCAGTGCAATTACCATCAAATTTATTAGGTGCTTTTAAATTGTTGGCTAAAAACCATTCTTAGCAACACATGTTGATAATGTGACAATGCAGTCTTATGAAACAGTGAAATTGTAGAAAATATCGTGGAAATTTAATGGAAACAAAGTAACGTTTATTCGTAACTGGATGGCAAAATGGGAAACGTAGAAAACTTTATTTAGATCTGATAAAGAGAGGAAATTACAGCTCAAGAGGTAGGACCATTGACATAGGAGCATAGCATACAGTGGAATCCCGATACAACGAACCCCTGATAAAACGAACTCCTGATATAACAAACTATTTTCTGGTTTCCTTCAAAGTTCGTTATATCGGGATTCCACTGTATTTGTTATGTCAAATGAAATCAATAGGTAAAACCAATCTATTGTTTCATATTCGTGTGAGTTCATGTTATCCACTATTTAGGTCTTGACCACCGTTAGCAGACGTATCGCCTTATAGTGCGAGTCAAGGTACACAAAAAATTTAGCCTGGGCATACATCCCACTGCAAAGTTCCCAATGGCAGAGCTAGAGAAAGAGTGGGTGGGACATCTCGGTATAATTGATTTTGTATTTCGTCGTATTCCGATGAGAAAAGTTTGAGAAGGGTAATATTTTAGGAGATTATTACACTTGATTTTATGCAACCAAAAAAATATCCTTGAGCGTATCCTATTGGTAAAATAGCTACTGGGGTTAATCAGTTCCTTTACAGTCCCTTGAGGGAGAATTAAAGGGGATGCTAATGAACTGATGTCATATACTTTAAACAAATTAATTCAAGTTTCTGATCCATCATTCTCCGAGGCCTTTTCCGCAAAAAAGAGAAAAGGTGGGATATTTCTTTAAAGTTTTAACTTGGGTGGTACAAGAACAACTAGAAAGTAAAGTACCATATGATTATATATCAGTATTATTGTATTAATTCCTTACACTGGTTGATAGCCGGGCCGCACTAGTATATTTAGTCCCAAGCATAGATGGGCCTCTCTATGAACTAATGTAAAAATGAAATCTAATAAAATTTGAATAATCATTGAATGCTGAATTTTTGCCTCTGTGACGGTTCCGTTCCAATTGTAACGGTTACGTTCTAATTGTAACGGTTGCGTTCCAATTGTTACATAATTCGTTACAGCATTCCCCCTCTAAACTTTAGTGAGTAACTACTACGAGCCCGTTGTGGCTGCCCATGATTGATACCACCCAAACTTTCTTCCCCAGGGATGATGGGGTCACCTACTATGACTTGTGACTCTGGAGCTTCCGTAACAGCACAGAAAGAGGCCCTTTTGTCAGCTGGGACAACACAGGTTTTAAGATTGTTGTGATGAACAACTTTTTCTTTACCCTCTACGGAACGTATGGTATAATTAGCCTCCTTTCTTGAAATAATTTTAAATGGTCCAATCCATCTATCTCCTAACTTCCATGGCTTGGGGCGAGGCGACGTAACCAAACTGAACTGCCAACATGGTGTGGGTTACATTACCTCATAACTACAAGTCAAGAGGTGTACGAGCTTGACGACCAAAGACTAACTCATAAGGACTAAACCCAGTAGACTCGTGTGTATTTGTGCTATACGCATAAACAACAAGACTCACCCACTTCTCCCAGTTATCCTTGTGATCAGCAACAAACGAGGACAGAATATCCTGAATAGTTTGATTATGGCACTCGACAAGTCCATCACATTGAGGATGGTAAGCAGTAGTTCTAGACTAATGTTTCTCCATTAGCATACAAATTTCCTGCATCAGATGGATTTCGAAGTTGCGCCCTTGATCGGAGAGGATGATGGTTGATGGACCAAATCGACTAAAAACATATGTAACTTAAAGATCAGCAACTGTGGGAGCTTTCTGATCTTTAGTAGGGAAAACTTCACACCACTTCATGAAGTGGTCCATGACAACAAGTAAGTGTTTGTTACCCTGCCTGGTTTCAGGCATTGGACTCATATGGTCTATTGCCCAGAAAACAAAAGGCTCATTTGACAGTGATATGTCGGAGGGGAGCAGTGTTTTTGGATGAATCTAATTTGTTTCTAGCACAAATGTGGCAGGATTTGACAAAATCAGAGATTTGAGTTTTCATCATGGGCCAGAAAAAGCGATTTGTGCGCAAAAATGGTTCTTTTAATACCTAAATGGCCCGAAAAAGGACTGCTGTGTATGCCTTGCAGAACAGACTAAACCAAGGCAGATGGAACAATAAAATAATACCCTGTCAAAAGCCTTTCAGCAGTTGAACTTTTGGCAAAAAGGCCATTAACCATGTGCAAGAAGTCCCAACCATGCCAAAAAGCGTTTAAAACAGGGTCCTGAGACCAAGCAAATAGGGGTGGCTTAGGCATGTCTGCAAATTTGAGGCCAATAATAGTGCGCAAGCAAGGATCTTGATGCTGAGCTTCTTGAAAATTATAGCCTATAGTTACAGTTGTGGCACAATTAGGGATAGGTTTTGTTGGCTTGCTATCACCCTGATCATCATTAGTTGGGACCAAACGTGAAAGTGCATCAGAATTTCCATTTTCAGAGCCTGGCCTATGGCGTACCTCAAAAGATTATTCCTGCAAGTCTATAATCCACCTTGCAAAACGGTCTTTTGGCTCAATAGAGTGCAGCCAACGAAGAGCACTATGGTTTGTAACCACAGTAAATTTTTTGCCTTATAAATAGGGGCTATAATGATCAGTGGCAAATATTATTGCTAATGCTTTTTTTTCAGTGGCAGAATATTTCTGTTCACAGTCTGAGAATGATCTACTGGCATAAGAAAGAACATGTTCCACCTGCGTTATCATTTTGGGTTAGCACAGTAAATCTTTGTCAAAGAAGTTTCTATGTCCCCTCCTTTGCAGGTGTGAATCCAGACTATTGCCAGGCACGTAAATAAGAGGGGGGCGTAGGGGGCGTAACGCCCCCCCCCAAAGTTTGGAAAATCCAGTTACAGTTGGAAAACTTAACGGTTGACTTGGATTTTTTTTCAGTCCAAACTTATGAATTTCATATTTTAAGACGTTTTTTATTTCAAATGTAAAAATTCTAAACATCAAAATTCACAGGCTGAAGCTGACCCATCCACTAATCGTTTTCTATTGTGAATCCCGTTTCCACTGGATCCAAATTGCACAATTGCCTCGTTTGCTTTCTTTTTGACGGGAGTTGAATCAATTTACGAACAGGCAAGGTGAATTTCCGGATAAGAAACTTGAAACTTTACAGTTTGGAATAATAATACCCGCATTGATCAGAAAATATTAGAGTGGGAGAAGAAATTACGAGTAGTTAATTCAATAAAAGATTAAGAATCTTTCAGTACTAAAAATTTTCAACGCTTCTTATAAAAAACGAGTTTATGCTAAACTCCCCCTGTTATTTGTGAACGTCCTTGACTCATTATCATAAATTCTTATGACAAAACTGCTGTGAAGCAAGAACACATTGCAAAATTGCAGTAGAAGTATTTGATCAAAGAAGAGTGTTTCATCTTTCGAATCAGGCATATGCACAAGTTTGCTCTCAAATCATCATTTCAATTGTAAAGAACGAAAAGGCATTTGGTCATCTGAAAAGTGTTAGTAGTTTTCTTCGATCAAGAACAAAAATAAAAGGCTCGAATTCTGGGAGCTTCTATATCGTGAAAAAATGTATTTTAGATACATAGATCTGCATCAATTGATCAATTGATCAATTTAGATAAAATTGATCAATTGATCTGAAAGAATACTACTAATCATTAAGTATATCTAAGACTGGTTTTGCTTGAATGTTGCTTTACTTCTTACAGTAAGTTTAAATTTTTGTTTCATGGTAATCAAAATTTAGAGATTTAGGCTTTTTTGCTTTATGCTAATTGTTGAGTAAGGTTTTTGTAAATGTAAAGAAAAAAGAACTATGGTATTCGGGCTATTTACAAAGATCAATTTGGTTGGTACAGTAGATTTACTGGTCGCATGAAAAATTTCTCACTTAAAGTTGGAATTTTCATCCTTCCACGCCCCTCCAAAATTAGCAACTTATTTTCGTCCCTGACTATTGCTAGTGACGCAGCCGCATCAGTCAGATTTCCAAAGAACTTGTAAGACATAGGGCAGTATTTTCGAAGTATCGATGCTGCAGTCAACATCTTCTGAATTTTCATGACTCATTATTCGATTACTATTTTGCTTATTACCCCCACCCCACGTTGCAAACCAATCCTCTTGCTCCCCAAAACAATCGAGCTTCGTCAGAAGTGTTTCAAACCAATCAAATAATGAAGCAAATGTTGCGAGCCAAGGAGGCTGAAAGGCACAAGGAGGCTGAAAAACGTCAAAGCTACCTGGTTACCACGAGGAATCAAGATGGCCGTCTCACTTCTTGATGCTCTTAGTGAATGCCTCCAGACGATAAATTAATAAAAACAAACAAAATAAAGGATGGATGCATTTTGGCAATATCTTCGCGGTTCAGTGATGGAAAGGCTAGTTTTTCGGGTGAATTCTGCGAATTTTCAAGATTGCAGTTTCCAGCGAGCCAGCAAGATGGAGAGCAAAGGAATTGAAACCTGTCAGGTAAGGTTTCAGCAAACAGTCCGTCAGTAATTAATTGCAAAGCTGTGGACATTATTAGTTAGAATCATTCCATGTTTGTCTTAGAACCTAACTTAGTTTGCAGGTTAGGACACTAAAACTGTTTTTCTTCCCCAAACAATAGCATGAATATCGTACATATCCCCTACTTGCTTCTATGTGCATCCCCACGTAAAATCCATATTTACAAAACCAGTAACTATCGCTTAGAATATCATAGCTTAGAATTATATTTTACATCACTTTGAGATTCGTTGATGAAGAAAATGAAAAACATTTCAGCTCCCCCTCCTAGGGAACTTTCTATTGTAAAACTTTGTGTTAACTTAACTCTGTCAATTACTTATATATTAACCTTGTTGATAGTCTATTCTGTGAATGTTTGCTGGAAATAAAATTATTTTCAATTTAATTGTCTTGCTGGCTATTTTTTTGTATCGTTATTATATTTCTATTAATTTATCAAACCTTTGATTCATCTCTTTAATGCATTTTCATACACTCGGAACAACATGTTTGTCATAGAAATATGAATGCTTCATGCCTACTAATCCTATCTCCATTGGCCATCTGACTATGTAACATCCATATAACTGAGTGACATTTTAATAAACATGTTATAATATCCCTTCACAATCATATCATGATATTGGCCTAATTTGGCATTACTGCAATCATTTTTTGGGATGTTTTTCAACTTACTGTCACATTCAGTTGACTTAAAATGAAAAGTTAACTGTCGGGAGCAAAACTTTTAACAAATTTTCAGGAAATATTTGATTGTAGCTTTCATGATTATTTTAACTGCATAAACATGTAGTTGATTTGGCTTTAGAGTTTTGAGGCATCAAAATTCAAAGAAGCAATTTTCCAGTTAGTGTAAAAACACATACAACACAGTGCTTTAAGACATCAAGTGTTGAGGGTTTATCACAGGAGCTTCATGCATGCCTTCTTTCAAAGAGAACTCTTTAGATTTTGGCAATGCCACCTTATTTTAAATCTTTATTGTATGTCAATCTGTAGTGACAAGGTCTTTTCTGATTCTCTGTTTGCAATGTTTTCACAGAACTACTGGAAATGGCAGCTGTCTATTCAATGCATCCTCCATAGCACTCATTGGTAATGAGTCATTGTCAGTCTATCTTCGTTGCTTGACAAGTATTGAGATGTTCCAGAGTTCTTCTTTTTATGCCTATCATCCTATTTTTTGTGGTATTAATCTTAATGGCAAAGAGAGAAGAGAAGACTCCATTTTCACCAACACTTTATCTGATGTTGGTTTCAAGTCTTATCACTATGGTGATAGAAATGCAGCTGTTTTGGCAGAGTCAATTAATGTTGCCAAAAACCTTTCTTTTTCATCATTGCTGTGTATGACTGCTTTGTCCACAGCTATTGGGGTGCATATTGAGTCTTATTTTCCCACTAAAACAGACACTTTTACTGATGTATATGAAGTACTTCATAACAGAATACTGAGCCCTCGGCCTGGAAGTGTTACTGCAAATTGTGACAGCAAAATTCATATTTTTCATTGTGCATCTATGCCCCCAGATTACCTAAAGACAATGAAGGTTCCAGAAAAGAAAGACCATTTTGTTCCTTTTAAAGCACCTCCCCTATTTTCAATAAACCTTATGCAAAGAGCTGTCAGCAGCAGTCATGTAACAAAATTTAAGTCTGGTATAAGATCTAGTGGTCCAGGCACCAAGAGGAAAGCAACAATTTTGGACCACTTTTCAGCAAAGGCAGCTAAGTCTGAAAACTTTCCATGTCACAAAGATAGTGGCAATTCACCATCATGCTCAACTTCTTTGACCTGCAATGTTGATTTGGTTCCAGAAGATTCTTCAGATTCTCATTCTATTTCAGAATTGTAATATGACATTGGACAACATTATTTGAATGTGCAAAGCCTTAGTGATGAGGAGAAATATAATTTGCTTCTGAACTGTTCAAAACTTAGCTCTGATTTTCAGTGTCCTTTGAACACTTATGGTCGTAAGTTTTTGCACAACTGGTTGATAGACTTCCCCTGGTTGTCATACTCTAAAAGTTTGGATGGTGCTTTCTGCATTTATTGTGTTTTGTTTGCTCCAATGGACAATAGCCACAATTCTTCAAAGTTAGTTAATTTGTGGAAATCCCCTTTCACGAATTGGTCCAATGGGCCAAATAGGTTTCGTGCACACTGCGAAAAATCACCTCTGCATCGGACTGCCACTGTCATGACTTCTCATTTCAGGCAGTGTATGGAGCAAAAGTTGAAGCCTATTGATAGGCAACTGAATAATATGGTTGATGACCAAGTAAGCCTCAACAGGGGAAGGTTAGAACCAATCGTGGGAGGAGTCATATATTTCGGAAGACAAAATGTTTCTTTAAGAGGTCATAGAGATGACTCCCAGCATTATGATCAAGAGGATATTAATTCTGGCAACTTGCAAGAACTTTTAAAATACTTGGTTCGCTATGGCAAAAATTCTCTTTTTGAGGATCACATGCTCAATGCTCCTAAATCAGCCACTTACCGTTCCAAAACCATTCAAAATGAGCTCATTTCTATTTGCGAAGGCTATATTCTAGAGAAATTGACAGACGAAATTAAGGCTTCCGGATACTTCTCTGTATTGGCAGACGAGGCTACAGACACAAGTAACCGGGAACAAATGGCTCTTGTAATACGGTTTGTTGACAGTAAGTCTGAGATTCGTGAGGTTTTTTTCGGTTTTATTGAATGCAACGAAGGAATTTCTGGAGAAGCCATTCTGGAGGTGTTGAAAAACTGTCACTAGATATGCGATTTTGTCAGGGGCAGGGGTACGATGGGACCGGCAATATGGCAGGCAAATGTTCTGGGGCAGCTGCCAGAATTCAACGCATGTATCCGGACGCACTATATGTTCATTGTGGTGCCCATATTTTAAATCTCTGTGTGGCTAAGGCATGTTCCATTCAAGTTGTTAGCAATATGATGGGACAAGTTCGTGTAGTATCGGATTTTTTTAACAACAGCCCGAAGCGTTTTTCTCATTTGGAGGGTAAAATATAGGAGTTGTCCCCAACTGCTCGACACACTCACCTAATTGATGTGTGTAGAACAAGATGGTTAGCGCGAATCGACGGTCTAGATATATTTTGGAGGCCATGAAATTTCAACGAAAATAGTTCTTGGAATGCTGATACAGTACGCGACGCCGGCAGTCTTTTCCTTTCAATTACTTCATTTCAATTCGTTATTTGTCTGGTCGTCGTCTCTCGCTGCTTAGAGGTTACTAGGCCTCTAACTAAGCAGTTTCAATCTATTTCGTTGGATGCTCTTGCTACCAATTCCAAAGTAGCTCTGCTTAACGCTTTGTTGCAGCGTTTGAGAAATGAGAAAAGTGTTTGTCACCAGCAGTGGTTAGCGAAGCAGAAGAGTTAGCTCGCTCTGTTGGTGTTGAGCCTGCCCGACCTCGGACAGTTCCAAAACAGGCTAATCGTGAGAATGTACCAGCTGAGAGTATTAGCCAATACTACGAACGTATTGTTAACCTTCCATTTTTGGATCACTTGATCACACAAATTCAAACCCGCTTTTCCAACAGGAATTTGACCGCTTTAAACGGTTTTTATGCATTCCCATCAAAAGTTGTTTCAGCAGCCGACTTGAAGGAGAAGCTGATGACATTTTTAGAGAGATTCGTGTCCGACTTACCTGAACCCCGCTACCTAAGTACTGAACTGAGTATGTGGGAAGATCACTGTTCCTGGCTTGAGGGCAAGCCCGCCGAATCTGTCTCTGACCTTCTTCCTACCATTGACAAGGTCTCTTTTCCTAATATATATACGGCAATGCAAATCCTTGCAACTCTGCCAGTGACAACTTGCACTTGTGAGAGGTCGATCACAGTATTACGCCGTCTTAAGACATATTTGCGCAGCACTATGACTGCAAATAGAACGAATGGCCTTGCTTTACTACACGTGCATAGAGACATTGAGGTAGATACTGACGAAATAATTCGTCGTTTTGCTTTGCGACACCCTCGACGGATGAAGCTCCTTGACATTCTGAATACTGATCCAAAGTAAAGGGATAATGGTTCAAGATGATACAATTTTGTTTCCAATTAATCGTGCAGCTGTTAGTATGTTTAGTAGAAAGCTTAATTAGGAAAATTAGAAATAAGGCAATATCAATTTTTATTACAAATTTCTTACTATTGGAGCTGAAAAATATTTTAAGGTTTTGAGAATACCATTTCAAAGGCAGCTGTTTTCATGAATTTGACCTCTTAAAATGAAAGTTCGTCACTTGTAGTAAACATAGTAAATCGTATACAAAGCTATTTTTAGGCCAAGAATTTAATCATTGTGTCTTTAAAGATATTCGTTATAAACTTGATTTTTTCTTTGTGAAAAAGGAGAATCTATCAATGTTCTTTGTACAGATTTCGTCTAGCAAATATAGACTGATGAAGCTGCTTAATTTTGCCGTTGAGCCACAATACCACCGTTGAGCCACCGTTGAGTTCAAATTTGATTTAAAATGATCAAAATAATTACAAATTTGAAAATTAGCATTGACATTTTTGTTGTCTTCCCTTGCTACGATTGTGCCCCATTATAAGGAAAGTGTTTATACAACAACTGGTACTTTTTCCGTTCGGATGCATTCCTCCTCTTTTAAAAAAGTGATACTAAGGCGTGTCATAAAAAAGGGTGTGGTCATATGTTCTGACGTTGCAACAGTCAAATATTTTCCTGGATCCGCGCCTGCTTTGATACCCAGCTTTGTCGTGGATATTCTAGTTGTGTCTTTACATAAAACCATTCAGTAAAGAGTCTCTGATAGGGCAATTGCAAGATACAATTCGCCATTAATACATGCTAGATAGTTCGATAAAAAAGGGTCGAGTTTCATATATGGTGATTTGCAGAGATGTGTACATATTGCGAATTTTCCAATTTAGGGGCAATATTATGCATGCTTATATTGTGCATAAAACAGTTTTACATAAAGTTTGATGTAGAGAATTAATCGAAATTAACTTAACTGAATCTAAAGTCAGACTACGATATGTTTTGTAGTTTTCAATCTGAAAGCTCGGTAATGCTGTAATAAGAAAATTTCCTGGCAAAATTGCGTTAATAGGGAATTTTCTATGCGGAATCCTGGTATCTGATCTCACCTAAAGAACCAAGCAACGTGCGATCTTTGTTGACGTGATAATAGCTTTGGACAAATTTGTGATAAGATCTAAACAAAAGGAACCGACAAATGTAAATAAGTCAGTAGGAGGAAAAGAAGAAGAAGAAAATATTGGAGATTTGATAGGAGAAGCTGGAGCAGGGTTGGTTGAAGTTGGCTTAGACAAAAGAAAAGGAAGTCAACGAGAGAGAAAGTTCCAAGATAACTGGACGAAAACGTACACATGGTTATCATATGACAGTAAAAGGCAGCGGGTATTTTTTCAAGTTTGCGTTAGCGCCATAAATCAAGGTTTGCCAAAGCCAACCACTGCAAGACATTTAGATTCGTATCAATACTTTGTTGTAAATGGCTTTGGAAATTGGAAGAAAGCTCTTGAGACCTTCCGGTCTCATGAAAAATCTGACCTTCACCGTGCCTCTATAGCTGTGTTCACTGCATCTGGGAAAGAAAAGGTTTCAAATTTGCTTGAGGCCGGAAAGTTAAAGCAAATGAAAAGGAACATAATAGCACTTGTTGCCATCTTCACAGGTATAAGATATCTAGGTCGCCAGGGTTTAGCAGCGGGGGAAACAGCAACTTTGAAGTGCTATTGGACGAAAGAAGAAACGACATTCCAGAATTAGATTCATGGTTAAAAAGAGAGAAAAAGTACAAATGGCTGTCCCCCAAAATTTCAAATGAAATCTTATCCGATTTTAGCCATACATTTTTGAGAAGATTAGCAAATAAAGTCAAAATTGCAGAGTACTAAGAGATCATCATGGATGAAACGTCCGATCTATCCGGTCAGGAGCAGATATGTTTTTGCATTCGCATTGCCAATGATGATTTTAGCATAGAAGAAATTTTCTTTGGACTCTATGAAACTTTGATAACCACAAGTGATGCACTTTTTACTATACTGGAAGATGTGCTGCTGAGGATGCAGTTAGACATCACCAAATGTAGAGGCCAATGTTATGACGGCGCGGCCAACGTATCTGGCCATGTTACTGGTCCTTAAGGTCCTTAAGATCAAAGGTCCTTAAGGAGGAAAGTCGTGCAATATATGTTCACTGTCGGGTCCACACGCTAAATCTAGCAGTCCAAGATGCCATGAATAGTAACGATAAAAATTCGCAATGTCATGGTCTTAGTTCAGGAACTGCAGCTTTCATTCCAGGTTCCCCTAAAAGGTTGGCTTGGTTTTCTCATTTCAAGGACCAGCATGAGGAACACCAATCAAAGTCTTTGAGACCATTTTGCCCCACTCGTTTGACAATGCGATTGGTATCTATACAAGCAATTGCCAGTAACTATACTGATATTTTTAAATGGCTTGAAGAAGTTAAATGGCTGGTGGCTTTTTGAAGTCGCTTACCAAATTTAACAGCTTCTTCTTGCTAGAGATTTTGAGGATGGTATTTACCATTGTTGAAGGGGGCAGATCAACGTTGCAGGGAATCCAGTTTTTCTTTCAGCAAATCAGATTTTTCTTTCAACAATTACTTGTATCAGACAGTCAATATCGAATGCAAGAGCTGATGCCCGTTTTGTTTGAATTTGGCAGTCAATATTAGATGCTGTTGCTAGAAATGGATCAATAAAAGAGCCAAAATTAACGAGACAGCATAAGGTTCCAAGACGCATTGATGAGGGTACAGAAGCTTCGTTTTTTCCAGTCACTGCGCAAGACCTTTACGGGCAAAAGTTATTTACTATTTTAGATAGTGTGCTTGTTGGGCTGACCGATTTGAGCCTGATGAAACATCAGAGCATCTGAAGAGAGTTTAGCAGTTTCTTATTGGAGAAGAAAAATTGGTGGATTACATTCAACAACATTATGGTAAAGATGTAGATGGCCCCAGATCGCTGCTACACAGAGAAATGCTAATTGACAGGGCCAGATATCAAGAGGTACATTTAGAAGACATTCAATGTGTTGTTGATTTTTTAATCAAAGATGAAGTGTTTCGATCAATGGTCACAGTGGTCAATAAGTTGGTAAGGATGATACTGACCTTGCCTGTCTCAAGTTGCACAGCTGAAAGATCTTTTTCGGGTCTAAGGCGCCTGAAAACGTACCTACGATCGCAAATGTCTCAAGAACGATTAAATGCTGTTGCAATAATGAACAAACATAAAGAAGAGGTCATGAGAAATGAATTGAGAAAGAGTACATCTTGTTTGCCTAAATAGAACTGATGGTCTCAACCTAAAGAAACTGAAAATAAATTTTCAATCATTTCATTTGTGTGTTTCTTTTTCCTTGATAATGAAAAATGCACGGATAAATCACTTTTAAGCCCTTAGCTAATCCACTTTCTATCCTGTGACATCAGCAGCTGCCATTAGGAATTGTCATTAATTTTTTAAGCCCTCCCCCCCCCCTGAAGAAAATGCAAGTCTACGCCTATGTTTAAGATTCAAACAGCAAATGCAGAATTTAACTAGTGAAGAACAACCTTTTATCCAAAAATGAAGTTTTGCACTTGAGATCTAGTGTAGAATTATTGCAATTTGACTTTATAAAGGTTCAGTATTTGTTGCTAAACTTTATGATTTTTTCTTAACTGAATGCAAGTTGTTTTCTGATAGATTTCCAGACAAATAGCATTTTAGTATGTTTTAAAATGTTTGCTGATCAGCAGCTTTTGATGCCTCGATAAGAAAAATATTTATAATTACTTAAATAAGTGTTTTTCTGGCTTTTTGTAATGAAAAATTTAATAGTTTATCTGGATGAATAATATCATTCAGGAGTTTAAAATGTTAATTTATGTACTTGAAATTCTATCATAAAGCGATCCTCTAACTTGAATGTAACCATAACCAAAAACTGAACAGAAATGCTCTTTGCAAGGTATCAGAGTTATTGGATATTTATTATATATAGAGGAGCAAAGGCCATTTTGCAAAACTAAGTCTTTGCCTGCTATGAAAGTATTATCAGACCTGCTATTATCTTGCTAATTCATACTTACATTTTCATGCTCACCACTGGGTACTCTTCATTCTGCTTCTGGCAGACAAGCATGCAAAAACAAATCTAAGGATTTGGGGTTTGAGTAGGTGGCATGACCAAACCTTCGCTGAGAGTGAGGGGAGAAGTTAAAAACTAACTTCAGATGATAGATGGAAACAAATACAAATACAAAAATAGGAACTATTGAAATCCTTTTGTTTTCATTTCTTTTGTGGTAACAATTAACTATAACTGTTTCTATTTAGGTCCCAACAGCTCTTCGTTTGGTCCAAGTTACAACAATGTTGAGAGTGAAAACGACAAGCTGGTTGATCAGCTGTCCACGAAAGTACAAGCGCTTAAATCAGTAGGTGAAATAAAAAGTTCTGATTGCCTTAGAACTTATTCTGATTCATACTCTTTTTATTGTTTACATTTATCCACTGCAATGATGATCGTGAATTATATTGTTATAATTGGCCCTTAATGTAAGATATGACGCGAATTTGGATAGCAATGCATGCAAACCATGACAGGGATTTCCCTTCTATTATTAGCCCAGGGGCAGATGCAGAAAAAACGTTGACGGTCGCACATCAAAACTACTCAGCAGGCGGTTTAAGGGACCTCCTTCATGGTCAAAGGAGGAGAATATATTTTCCATCGTGTTCTTTCGGAACCTTATTCTGACGTTTTATGCTCTGAGGAGTGTCAGACGAAAAAGCTTTTAGTATGTCGTAAAATGTTTGCTTTTTTCAAAGCCATTATATTAAAGATAAAAAATGGGAAAATTAGGTTTATAGTATGTGCTGGTATTTTCATCATATTCGATTAGGTCGGACTTTCTAAAAGGTAGTGTTTCATTTTATTTTTGAAAGATATTTTGTTGTTGGCTTCCTTCAAATCTAGTGGCAAAGAGTTCCAGAGCTTAATACCGTCAAATGTAAGAAAATTTCTTTTAGAGTTGGTTGATATTGCTTGTAGGGGAAAACCAAGGCCTGAAGACTGTCTTGTATTGTAACGATGAAGTTTTTTTGTTTTTAGACATTCATGTCCAAGAGTAGTGTAACTGTTGTCTTTATTAATTTGGAACATAAATTTTGCTGTCTCAAGTTTGTATAGTTTGTCAAAGTTCAGTAGCCTTAAGCGTTTAAAAATGGGATCACTGTGAGCAGTATATGGAGCAAAGTCAGTTACTCTAATAGCTTTTCGTAAGTTGCGTTTCAGGGGTTCTAAGATCGATTTTCTTGCACATCCCCAATTCAGTATACCATAGAGTGCATGAGATTGAATAAATGAGTTATATAGCATTCTTAAAGTGTTTTTGGGGACAAAATGTCCTAGTTTATAAAGAATCCCAATAGCTTTAGATATTTTAATGTTCACTTCCTTTATATGTTGTTTCCAATTTAACTTTTCATCTATTATAATTCCAAGATATTTTGTATAATTTTCTTGTTTAATTTTTTCATTATTTATACTGAGATTTATTGCTTTTACTACTTTTTTGGACTAATAATAAGAAAGTTAGATTTAGAAACGTTTAATGAGAGCTTGTTGGCTAATAGCCACTCAGATACTTTTGCAAGTTGAGAGTTTAAAAGTCTTTTAATAAGATCAAGAGCTTTATAAGCGAATAAAATACTGGTGTCATCAGCAAACAGACGGAAGTCTAGTGCTTTTGAAGAGTTATATATATCATTAATGTGAAGCAGAAATAATAGGGGTCCAAGTACACTTCTTTGTGGAACACCACATGTTACTTGTTTTTCAGACGAAGTTTCACCATTTGCAATGACTACTTGCTTTCGTTCAGTTAAGTAAGATTCAAACCATGATAAAGCTATTCCTCTAATGCCATAGTGTTCTAGTTTTTTAACAAAATGTTGTGATTGACAGTGTCAAATGCTTTACTAAAATCAAGAAATATACAACAGGAGAAAAGGCCTTTTTCAATATTGTTAATCAGTTGAGACTGAAGCTCTAGGATTGCTAAAGAAGTTGACTTAATCTCTTGAAAACCATATTGATGTTTGTATATTTTATCATTTATTCCTAAAAATCTTACCAAACGACAATTCATCAATTTTTCAAGAATTTTACTAAAAATAGGCAGAATCGAAATAGGACGATAATTTCCACATTCCAATTTTGATTTACTTTTGTGAATGGGCGTAACTTTGGCAAATTTCAGCTTGTCTGGAAAGACACCTTCCAAAAATGTAGCATTTGCTATTGTAGATAAAGGTTCAGAAATAGTGTAGCGGGCTAATTTAATGAGCCTTGTAGGAACATTGTAAGAATCATTTGATTTACTTTCGTCCAGATTAGCTATTATGTCGTTAACCTCCTCTGGGGTCACTGGGTCCAGAAAAATACTTTTCAAATTCGAAATTGGCAAAAAGTCCTTAAAATCTTTTTTAGACGGTTTCATGTTTTCTACTAGTTTTGGTGCAACTGAAATAAAGTACTGATTAAATGAATTAGCAACAATCTTGCTATCAGAGGTAATTTTCCATCTATTAGCAAACAATGTTTCTCATTATTATACTTGTTGTTGTGAGTATTAATTATATCTTTAATTCCTGACCAAAGTTTTTTACTGTTTTTTTGAAATTTTTCAAAGTATGAGGCATAATGATTTCTTTTGCTTTTTCTAATAAGATGATTGATAAGATCCCTACAATATTTATAGTTTTTATATATAATTGGGCTTCTTGTTATAAGAAATTTCTTATAATATTTATTTTTAACTGAGATGGATTTCAAAATTCCTTTAGTTACCCAAGGCTTCAATCTTTGCTTATACATTTTCTTTGTGATTGGTTTTAAGGGAGCATGCTTGTTAATGTTGCTTAGCAAGTCATCATGAAATAGATTATATTGGTCATTTGCCCCTTGAATCGAGTTAATAGATATTCCTTAATTTCTTTCTCTCAAATCACGTATGTATGAGTCGGGATGGAAATTATTATAATCGCGAAAGAACCCTTTGTTTTCCTTTGTTGATTTCAATTGCATACTTTTACAGAAAATGAAGTTAGGCATGTGATCAGATATTTTAGATACTAGATTACCACTGAAGGTTTCATGGTCAATTTAATTCAAAAAAATATTATCAATCAATGAGGGTTTACTATTATTTAATATTTTACTAGGCTGAAGAATATGAGGCTGGAAGAAGTTAGACAGGAGTAGGTTTAAGAAACTTTCTGTATACTCATCTGTGTCGATATTTAGTAGATTGATATTAAAGTCTCCTACTATAAAAACAGTTTTCTTTTCTTTTCTTATTTTCCTATGGTATTGGCTAAGTATTCTAAGAATTTAGTATCATTTAACTATGGAAGTATGCTAGTTCATGAGGAAAGGATTTTTTGGAATGTTACCCTGAAAGAAATATAGCAGCAGAGAAATGAGGAAAAGTATCAGTTTCGTTGTTTTAAAGAATTGATGCAGCAAAATAAAAGTTGGTAGTGGAACGGATTCTTCCTGTTGTGGGATATGTTTGCTAACAAATATATTTAGGCCTATGTCAACGAGGATATGACATGTACGAACTAGGCCTACGGCGCCTGGTGATAGAGCAGACAACGCACATATATCAAGAAAAACAATGAAACAAACTGCCTGGTTCTAATATCATTTTGTTGCTGTGCTGATAATTGGCAAGCCCAAAGTATTCCATGCTTTGATAATGACTAGTGGACTTACATACATGCTAAATTTCCATTACACGTAGCTTGAAATATTCAGAATGAATGTCTGTTGTTAGTGGAAGAAACACAAATGCTTCATTGTTGTTACTCGTTAGAGACATGCAATGCAAGTTTGAGATACAATGAGGCATGAAGTTAGTGTTGTCTTAACCTTTTCAGTCTTTATCTTATAATGGCCTTTTTTGTTATTGATGTTATGTGAGATGAGAGTATTGAGATTGTTTCAGAGGAGAACTCTCCACTTTCTGATTATAATCTGCTTTGCCAAATTAAGAATAATGAATTTAAAAGAAATGAGGTGTAGCATGAACATTGACTAGGGGGCTCTAATTTTTTTATTTTGTGAAAATAACACTATTTGTACTTCTAAGTACAATAGTTCTAAGTAAAGAATTAGGGAAAGGTCATCGAAAGTGTATTTATCTTGTCATGTATCAGAGCAAAACAATTTAGACCTTTTGTTGTAAGAATCAAATCTAACTGTGTTATGTTATCTAAAAAAGCCTTCCTTCAGTATTTGACAGTGTAATCAGGTGAATCAAACTGCTCTTGAAATAGTAAATATGAATAAACTGAATGTCAGAGTTTAAAAGCAAGTCAAAAACAATCAAAATTTTGATTTCAGAATTTAAAAACATGTTTGGCACCTAAAGCCAAGGCTTCTTCAAAACATGTCTCTAGAAAGTTCTGAAAATTATTCTTTTGCAAATTATTAAAAGTTTTATGCCTACCTAAGACTTTTCTGGGTATTTTCACAATAGCTAAAAACACTTTTCTCAAGGGAACTGATCTTACCTTAACTTAAATTGGGTACCTTGCTGTAGTGCCGAAAACCCTGTTTATTTTTTGCCCAAGTGCATGACCAACTCTCCAGAGCTGGCTTCGCCAGTTTTCCAACAGAGCCATCGGTACTCCGTAACAGAGCATAATTTGTTTCAAAATCAGCCATGGACAAACATAGAATCACATCCTTTGATTTTTCTTTTTCTCCCATTTATTGTTGTAGTATTATCTTTTCTCCCCCTTCGACTGTTGTAGTCTTATCTTGTAAACGCAAGCTACATATTCGGAAACTACCTTCGAATGGAAATGTTTGTAAATGTAGTGTATATGAAGTGAAAATGAATGTTTTCATTATAATTGCAGTTATCAATTGAAATTGGACATGAAGTAAAGCTACACAATACCCTTTTGGATGGTATGGTATGTACACATAACAGCTCGTTGAAATGTCTCTTGTCAGCATATGACAATCTTTGAGATGCAGAAAACGTTTGAATGCATAGTTGCTTGTGAGATAATCAAGTCCTAGATGAATCTCAGAAGGTTTTTGACAAGTGAGCAATGTCCTACCAGTTTGTTTAGGTGTACGTTGCAATTAAACTTTTCAACTTCCTACATGACATTATCTTTTTGCGCAATCGAGGACAAAGTTTCAGTTAACCATTGTTCGATAAGAAGAGGGTGTTGAGGTAGGCCCAGCTATGCACGCGCACTTTATGAATTTTTTTGCACTCTCTGAGTCCCCCAGAAAATACTATAAAACAAAATAGACACGCAAACAAATACGGAAGGCTTCTAAAAAAACCAGACAGGACTACCTGAAAACCACAAAACAACGTAAAAATCACAGAACACCATTTGTAGTCACCTATCACCCCTCTTTGCCACAGCTATCTACCATCCTCAAACAAAACATCAACATATTACAGAACTCCAAAACATGCAAAGAAGTCTTCCCCGACATACCAATACTCAGCTATCGTAGACCTAAAAACCTCCGGGATCTATTGGTTCGTGCAAGAATAAAAAGTGACACACCCAGTGCCCCTCGCGACGTAACTGCATAACATGCCAACACAACAGACAGTATTACTTCTTTTAACTTTATTAACACTGACAAAAACTACGACATAAAACAAAGACTGGACTGCAACTCTACTAACGTTCTTTACGCATTACAGTGCAAACGCTGTTTAACTAACGGACACAAGAACTGCCAATACATCGGACAAACAAGCAGACGACTGAAAGACAGATTTCACGAGCACAGACGAGACATTATCAACAAAAAAGTAGACAAATCTGGTGTTGCAGAACACTTCTGTAGCCCAGAACATACCATCAATGACCTTACTGTAACACCATTACTGAAACTCAACGACAAATGTGAGAGTGTCCGACGAGCCAAAGAGCAATACCTCATTGGCCTGGCAAACACTCTCACGCCGAACGGCATGAACAGAACTACTGACCGTTAACCTTATAGCAACAATATCATTATTTCATATTATAGTACTTCATCCCCATTACGTCTTCATTCCACCACCACCACCCACCCTCTCTCATTCACCACCCTTCCCCCCTCTACCACTGCGCTGCACTCACACCATTCCACATCAGCCAATCCGACACCACCATCGCCTTTTTTAAATATGTAAATTTTTAGCCCGTTAACTTTTGCTCTGATGAAGCCCCGTATGCCGGGGCGAAATATTAGCCTTTACTGATTAACGTGTTTTTATTGTTGTTTATTCTCGGCGTATTGCGGTGTTTCATATTTGCTACATTTTTATCGACTTTTCGCCGCAAGAACTCCTTGGAGCCCGTCGAGCAGCCTGCTCCAGTGGCCTTTTCTTCTTTTAAACAAATACTATATTCCCGAGAAAGTGATGATCGAATACAATTTTGCTAACCCATAAAGCGCAGTAAAATCAACTGTAAAGGAGTGCCTTCCTAAAGTGCCCATTTCGAAGCAATGTTTACTCTACTTTACAAGGAAAATTTTACACCTAAATCCTTGACCCATAATGCAAAAAAAGAGACATATGATTGTTCGGGTGTATGATAAAGTAATTTTAATCACATCAGCAGTTTTACACTAAGAGAAACTGTATCTTTTGTACTTTGATTTTTTTATTATTTATCAGCTTCGTTGACATTTGACCTCTACACCTCGCAACTCTCCTCTACAAACCTAATCAGCAAGCTTTTATACCTTTCTAGCAATATGCTAAGCATGCACGGATAATTAGTGTCAACACGTATTGGGGAGGGGCGGATTTCATGGTATTAAAAAAGTTGTATCAGGCGACCAATTGACTGAGGAATTGTTCAATTTTCACTTTGTGAAGATGACAAACTGCCTTGCATTACGTCGATCTTTAGGATGGTGGAATTGGTGTGGAGCTAGATTATTATGTGGCATATTTGCATGGCTACAAACAAAAATGCAAATCCACCTTTTTTTACTAAAAAAGTGCAATCAGAGCAGATAAGAAATATGCATTCGGTAATATTAATTTATTTAATGTTATGTTTTGAATAGAAGCGTTAGTAGTTAATCAGTGGTTAATTAAACGGTGGTATTATATGAATGAATATGATAAAGGATGCGAATGAGCTTGGCTGCCCAAACTCAGCAAATGGCATAAAGGCAGATATAGTCAGATATTGCCTGCTTGACCATTTCAGGTGTAAATACCCTTTCATTTAGTGATCTTGAATAATCTTAGTACTGTCTTGAAATTCAAAAGTTCATTTAAAGAATTTGAAAAAAGTATAGCAATTGAATTACAACACGGGATGATTACAGTTACATGGCATTTGAGCATTTGACCCTTTACTCCCTTTTCGGTCATATAAATATGTCAATAACGGAAGATTAACCTAGAGTGATTATTTAGGATATTGTATGTTTTTAGTAGTTATTCTTAATTCATTGTCGGTTTCAAGATGCAAGCGAACAGAATTCCTTATTTCTTATTTTGATTGCGATTAACAAGAATGAATGCAAATTTCCATATTATCAGAAATTCTGCTTTTGCATACTTCTCGTTCGGTTTTGTATGTTCGTAAGTAAATTTCTTGTCTTAAATTTATTTGTTTACTAGGGCGAAGAATTTGATAGCACTGGATCGTTTTTGTCTCAAACTATGAAGAAATTGACGATGCTCACAAAAAAGGGACATCATAACGTCATTTGTTACCTGCTATTGTTTTGTCTAATTTTTTTTATAATTACTTGGATAATTGTACGATTTTATTGATTTACTTGGTGTTTGCCAAGCACGATTGAGGCCTTTTTCCCCCGTCGATAAGTTTATGCAGATTTTATTTTCAACCCATAATTAGGAATATGAAGCTGGTATGTTATTACTCAGTGCAATACTGGAATTCTCTGGCATTAGGCTCATTGCAGCAATATTTATTTCGTGGCCAACTTTGGCTCTTGTGGCTATTAAAGTGAAAATGCTAAATAGATTTTTTTGTGCAGTTAGCTGATAATCGTGTCATACATGGAAATGAATGCGTTAATGTTGGAAATGCCCGGCTTAAGCGTGTAAATGGTCGTGTTTCTCATGAAAGAGCACCCTATTGTAAACTCGCAACAAATTTTATACCCAGCCATAGTTAATGGAATGAAAAAAGTGGCAGATCCTTTTCCAATCCACGGCTGCCGCAAAGTGAATATTTTTTTCATTTTATCCGTTATAAACACCATCACTTTTCTTAGTTTTTATCTCGCTTAGTAGTAAAGACCTCGCTTGTCTAGTGTCTTATAAGTCATTTATCATCATAAGTCATTCATAGTTATAAGTCATTCATAGTCATAAGTCATTCATAGTCATAAGTCATTCATAGTTATAAGTCATTCATAGTCATAAATCATTCGAAGTCATAAGTCATTCATAGTCATAAGTCATTCGAAGTCATAAGTCATTCGAAGTCATAAATCATTCGAAGTCATAAGTCATTCATAGTCATAAGTCATTCAAGTCATAAGTCATTCATAGTCATAAGTCATTCGAAGTCATAAGTCATTCGAAGTCATAAATCATTCGAAGTCATAAGTCATTCATAGTCATAAGTCATTCATAGTCATAAATCATTCATAGTCATAAATCATTCGAAGTCATAAGTCATTCATAGTCATAAGTCATTCATAGTCATAAGTCATTCATAGTCATAAGTCATTCATAGTCATAAGTCATTCATAGTCATAAGTCATTCATAGTCATAAGTCATTCATAGTCATAAGTCATTCATAGTCATAAATCATTCGAAGTCATAAGTCATTCATAGTCATAAGTCATTCATAGTCATAAATCATTCATAGTCATAAATCATTCGAAGTCATAAGTCATTCATAGTCATAAGTCATTCATAGTCATAAGTCATCCATGTATTTTAAATCATCCGTGTAATCATCCACGTAAGTCATCCGTGTTTATTGTGATCAGTTTCCGTGGCGTCTATACGATTTCTTTGCACACCCCCAGTGCTAATTTATCAGTAAGGAAACACATCAAGACTTCAAATGCAACATTCTTTCTTCTGTGTACGTTTTTCTGTTTGACTTTCAGCCGCACCAAATACATAGATGCTGCCATTTATTTCTTTGGCTATTGTCTAAAAACTGCTTAATTCATTTACTGTCAATAATCATTGGCCTACAATTGGTGCTATAATTGACGGTTATCCATCAACATCTTAGGCAGACAAATATATATGCAAAGATGAAAATTGTATTTTTATAAAGTCTTTTTATTGCCAGGTATGATGCGCTGCTACAATGCTTGCTAAAGGTCTTGGTACGTCATACTAAATGTTTCAGGATATATCGTAAGCTACTTTGTTATATGCAATGGTAAGAGGCTCCCAAATCTACTTTCATGACATAAGGGTTATGCACCTCGGGCTTATTTTTGATAAACTTAGAAGGTGTTCTTGGTAAAGCCAAAAAGGATTAGGCATGATTAAACTTCTTCCCCGTTACTCGCCACGCCCTTCATTTGATCAAATCCATGAGTTGCATGTCAGATCAAGTTTTGACTACTGTTATGTAATCTATCATGTTCCACCAGTTGACAACCCAAACTCTCATGCATGCACACACAACCTCGCTATGAATCGACTCGAATCGATGAAATGCGGCTCTTGGTGTCACTGGTGCATGGAGAGGTACTTCTCGTTAAAAAATCTTTTAGGAATTAGGATGGGAATCGCTCAGTAACTGAAGATGGTACAGAAGATCAGTTTTTTTCTTTAAAATCGTCAATGGCCTTGCCCCTGCATATTAATTCTAACTGCCAACACAAACAGCGTTGCTGTACCGAAACAACGAACTGACCCTTTCAAAACAGTATTTTCCTGCATTGTATTAACGAATGGAACAATCTAAGCGTGGAGCTTCGTAAATTAGGATCCGACTTACGTTTCAATACCACCAGTTTGGTAAGATCAGTTGAAGAACAAATTTCTGGTATCCATAACCCTTCTGGTGTAGCTCAACTGAGAGTAGGTTACTGATTTCGAAAATGCCAAACTTGCTCTGCCCAGGGACGTCACCTGAAGGGGTATGGGAAAGGGGAGAGGTAATTCACCCCAACAACGATAATAGGGCCTTCTCGCAGGGCAAAACAGATTTTGGCAGGTCAAAAATGTTCTACCAATGGATCTCTTTATTGTTTTTCTAACATAATTGTAGCGAGTGAGTATTTTATGGTTGGAGATTGTCTGTTCCAAAAGTAACACGATACAGACTGCCATTGACACAAAATAGGAATTGCCAGCAATAGTTTGGGCTGAAGGGAATAGATTTCTGATTTCCTTTCACTGCTGATTTCAGTGCGATTAAAAATTGTGTATTTTTCGAAACCATGCAAAAAAGACAAGCACAGCTTGTCAGAAAAATGACAACGAACGGTGTAACACCAAACAGGCGTTGCCACACAGCCTTGTGCTTGAAGAGATCTGGAATCCAGTTGGCTGTTAAAACTAGTATGCCCAAACAAGAAGGGTGTGTGTCAGAACAGACAAACTATATTTTTCTCTATCTATAACTTCAATATGTATGCATGTTATGTTTCGAAATTTGCATCCTCACCATGTAAAGCATTATGAGGCTTGTAGTCAGTATGCTTCTTTACACCTGGGTGGCCCTTTCACCCATTCATCCAGAGAAGATATGGGCAACGAAGCTTAGTGTCAATGCCATAAAAATGTATGGGAGAGCACCCCGCTGCCTTTAATACATCAAACAAATGACTTTATCTATTCCCAAAATAACTATTTTACCATTTAGTAAGTTTTGCCAAAAAATTCAAGGCACCTCAATGGGGAGACTCTTCCCCCCAAATATAAGTAAAAAAGAACAATGTTCTTATGGGGCGTTGTCCAATATTTTAGAAAAGATTCATCGATGACATAATGTTCATCTACAGAATGTATCATTTTTGAACATTAATTAAGCTATAACTTTCTAAGTTTTCACTTTTCTTTTAAGCTTTTTCATCATTTGGCAGGGAAAATTTTTTACAGGGCAAATCTGCAATCCCACCCGTCAACAAGAGGTAGGAAGGGACGTCCCTGCCAAGAATACCCTCTTCACAGGACTGTGCTCCTTGGCAGAGCAGTAACCTACATTTGTGCATCCCATGAAGTCAACTGTAATATGTTTAATGATAAAGACCTGCGCAAGCTTTTACCCTATGTCAATGATGCCTTTAGTCAATTTTCAAACAAAAACATTTTCTCAGCAGCAATCTTTCATATAAATTCTACAAACAGATTTTTTAGCTGCACCCTTTTACCTTTCGTCTAAATCGCCTTGTATCATGTTATCATCGTAAATTGTCTTGAACTGCGTTTTATCATATTGCTTAAACAGCTTCTTATATATTACAAATTATCCCGTTGTTTTACCCCGTTGTTGTATTTTGCAACTGTTCATTAAACCTCTAGAAAAAAATCAACACAAATATTGGACATTAGATGCAGTGGCGGATTGGCTACCCTTTGACCCACCGGGAAAAACAAGCAAAAGGGCGCCAATAGGTTATAAAATTGCTTATCATTGGGGCTTGTAAAACGGGCCCGGAAAAATTTTGTCATTCTTCATCCTTAAAATTCTTTGCAACTGAAAACACCCTATTTAGGATGTGGGAACAATTGGTATTGGCATGAAGAAGACTCTCTGTCAAATTGACTGTGTTTGAAACGTCTACACGGCTGGTCAAATTTGTAGGTATCAAGTGACGTATTGTCCCTCAATTTAATGTATCAAATGAAGATATCAAATGATAGATTTTGAAAGTTGGACGTTTTCAGTTAGCGAGACACTCCCTTACAAGATTTCAGAAAGAAAGCAGCTTCTCTGGCCTAGGAGACGAGATTATTTTCAATTAAACTCGATCTCAAAATCTTTAAAAATTTGACGAAATACATGACTTCGTTCTCATCAAACGGTAACATAAAGTTTTGGAGCATATCATTGAGAAATGTAAAGGGGTCCCACATCACCTGCTAGCCTAATGACTATGTTGCTCCATGCTTCTGCCTCCATGCTACAGTTACATATCATTTACAAAAGATATAATTCCGGTTCATCAGCGTGCGGAATTATGATCAGGTATTGAACATGTGCTCAAAACCGTAGACTTGTCTGAAAGATATCTGATAACATATCTTGGACAAACAGTCACCGCGGAGCGTTGAGAAAAGTGGGGGGTCTAAAAAAAGCGGGGAGGGAGGGGTGGCTAAAACCGTATAAAAAGAGGCTTTTCTGGTAGTTTGATACTTAAAATTTGGCATTTTTTGCAAAAAGTGGGAGGGCTAAAGCCCCCCCTGCTCCGCGGTGCCTGACAAATGGATTTTAAGAGATCTTGCTGCCATCCTTTTTGTGCAAATTGATGATTTTGCAGATTGATAGGCTCCCTCTCTATGAGAAACTGTGCGTAGAAATGGTAAAAGGAAAACAATTTCTTAGGAAAAGGCACAGTTCTTTTCCGGGACAAAAATTTGAAGAAAGATTGGAAAACCTTTAATAGCTAGTTGTAAATTTGAAACCAGTTTTTTCAAAACAGCAGGTTTAACTTTCCATTAAGTTTCCTAGAAGGTTCTTACATGAGGGTATCAAATCTCAACAAATTCTGTATAAATTTTTTAAAAAATGTTCAAGATTTTTTACTTCAGTTAGTGATAATTTTTTTGGGTGCAAAACTCCTGGTTTTAACGTACAAAAAACAGGATGCCTGTGAGTTATTAGTTGAATTGCAAAACATAATAGCTTGTCACGGACAGGAAAAATTGTCCTCTATCATTCATAAACTAGTTTTCAGGAGAAGGGATATAGGCCATCAAGGGATAGTTGATGGCCCAAAGAAAAAGGACTATTATTCAAGAGAGACAACACAATGAATATGCACATATTACGGCAATATATGAAAAATCCCCTTCTCCTTAAACAACTATTTTAACAAACTTTAACAAATAGCCATTATAAGCGTAATTGCCACAACGTTTGAATAAATCCCCCCTCCCCATCTCTGATTACATAATATGTGAACGTTCCCATACCCAATAGCCAACACATCCAGTAACAGCCATTCTGATTAGAAAGAACACAAGGAAGTGCTCAGCTATTTTTTTTCCAAAGTGCGAGCCCTCAGTTATTGGATATCAGGCACTAGGATTAATTTGCATCAGCCATAAGTATAGCCATAAATCAAAAAACTTATATGGTTAGTCAGAAGTCATTGGTTTCACAAAATTATTAGTCATCAGTCAATTGGCAAATAGTCTGCTAGTTAGCTAGTGAAAATCCCTACTACCCCCTCAACAGAAATCGAATTAATTCAAATATTGTGCCCTTGCTTGAAAAAATTGCAAGCTAACCAAAATTACAAGACGTTTTATACTCTGAGAAGTTTCAGACAAAAATGCTTCTAGTGTGTTTAAAATATTTTTTTTCAAAGTCATTTCCCAAACAAAATATGTTTTTTACAAGGTTTTCAGAAAATCTGGCAGAATTTGCAGATTGGGAAACTTTGCAATCAATCTCAATATTGCTCAACTTAAAGGTTAAGCTAAACTTTTTATGCAAACGTACTTTGGACAATTGATGATTGTAATCAATTTTAGTTATCTGCGAAGATTAGTTGCCTTTTGAAAATTTTCTTGTTTTTGAAAAAAAATAACTTGGGGCAGAGGGCGCATCGGGAAACTTCCCGGTGTCCCGGTGGGCAAGTCCGCTTCTGATTAGATGCTAATCCAGACCTTGTTTTCCTCTTGAAACTAGATTCCCAATTTCGAATATTGAAGCGATACTTTATACTTAAAAGCTGATGTTTCTGGTAATGTACCAATGAAAGTTAAATAAATGACCAATCAATGTAATGTAATGTTTCTAGGTTCAGTTGTGTTTCAATGAGCAATTTAAATGATCAATCATGCAATTTTAGGGAGATTGTTCTTGAGATTGATGGTACTTTTATGCGAGGTTCTTCTGTACTAAAGTTCGAGATTTAAGAAACCATGTCAAAGAAGTTGCATAACGGAGGCACCTAGGGCCCTTGAGAAAAATTGAGCTGTAAACCTATTTAAAAAAAGTTGTTGTCAAAGGTTTGTAAAAATATGGTCGCCATTTTATCATAGGAAGTACCCTTTCAGATTTTGTTTCTTCTTGAAAGATCTTTATTTACCTGTTTTCAATGTAGCAACTTAGTAACAACAGAAAATTCAGACTAAATGGAAAGGAAAACAATTAAATGGTTTTTGATACAAGTCTTTTTATGCTGAAATTCTCCGGTACCAGTGGCGTAGCCAGTCTTGGAAGATTGGAGGGGCAAAGAGGTGTCTGAGAGCAGGGAGGTCTGGGAATTGGTAACCCTTATTAATTTGGAAAAACGCCCCGCTTTGTCAATGCGTTTGTCAATGCTTGTCAAACACAATAATCGTCATATGTAGGTTTTTGTGGCTGACCCCATTCTACAACTGTCTATTTTCTTCACAATCCCTCTTACGTTTAAATTCTGAATTATGTAAGGCGAGGAAGCTCTACGTGTAAAAACTGATTTTTCAAAGTTTAAAGCAAGTATCGTAAAACCTCAAAATAAGTCCGTTCTCCTAGGAGTAGAATCTGCAAATTCCTTGACAAACATTTCAGAATCCATTTTTTAAGGATTGAGGCGCTTTGACATTTTAGTTTCTATTTTATCGGGAATGTCTAAAAACGTGAAGAACCTTTCTATATAAACCCTGAAACAGGGGTAAATTGTGAGACATCCTGTACCAGTATACGTCTGCGACCGTTTTAAGATTTGTCGTTTTGTTGCACTCTTTTAGAACGTTTTAATTTCTTTTGAAATAATTCCGAGGCCTTATAAAGGCTACTTTGCTTCAAACCTAAACCTTTGATATACAAGCATAAACTGAGAGTTAACAAGGTTTGTTGTCAATGAAACCACGGTATTACAGAAAGCAAATGTCAAGTTTTAATCAACACGAAAATTTGAAAAAAAACACGATTCATATTTCAGCTTCAGCTTTACCCTTCCATATTTTAGAATTTTACTACTTACAAAATTTTTATTTTGCTTCCGCAATATAACATACAATACAAATCAAGTAAAATATAGTTTAAAAGCAAAGTTAAGACTAAAATAACATGCTAAATATTGCAAGGAGGGAAATTTCTCTGTCAGGGGGACTTGCTCAGTAGAGAAACAGAAATTAGAAACAGCTTTTAACAAACAGTAGGCTCAATTTTTCGAAAGTTAAGAAATAGACGTTATTTTCTAAAATTCTAAAGTTGAAGATTTTTGGTTTAAATAAGAGTTCTAAATATGATTTCAAACAAAACACATGACTTTTCAATAAGTAACTTTGTGCTGGGTATCATTAAACATGGCTTTTATTCGCTCAACGACTACATTGATTAATGGATAGGGATTGGCATGTAATTCAAAGTTGAGATCCGTGCCTAACAACAATTAAACTTTGTGCCATAATTTCGCTCTGTATACAAATAGTTAGCGGGTTATAAATGTTTGCTCATATTGCAAACTTATAGAATATAGCAGTAATTCTAAAATTAAAATGCTTGGTTTAATTCTTCTAAACTTACATAGAATAAGTTCTTGGATTGCCTGCGTTTACAAGACCAAAGAGCCCCAGAAGCGACGAGGCAGTAAAAGCTGATCGAAATTGTTGGGATTTGCAGTCGAACATGAACATCGTTTCAGCATCCGCCAGTCTTGCTATCGTTCTCCTTTTGCAGAAAGGGAGTGTTATGAGTCACAGAAGTGAATTTAAAGCGACAGGTTTGATCACATGTTGGCCAGACTAAAAAGAACATACCTTCAGCAATGTGCATTCATAATGCTGGCAATCAAGGGCCTGTGATTGGACAAATGCCCTCATAGCAGTTTTTGTTATTGTTTTGTCGTGCAACTGAAGCATGGTCTTGCAACATTTGGGACTCTTCTCTCCGCGAGCTAACATGTTATTATCTTTGAGCAACACCTTCGCAAAGGGGCGTGCTTTCCTGCATGCTGTTGGCTTCAGTGCATCTGATTGGCTGCTCAATCTGTGCTTCTAGTCTCAGTAGATTTCTCTACCAATCCGAAGCCCGCTGAACTCAAAGCATGTAACGTCCCAAGGGCAAACTTGAACATGGACATCGCCCCATAGGGACCTAGACTTTGAGGGAATTTATTATGGGTTGGCCACAGAGGCGTGCATCTCTTCCCGCCATTTTTCAACAGAATTCATTGGCTGCAAACTGTTAACTCGACAAAAAGTATAATATTATTGGCTGATTTCAAATTCAAAAACCGTTGACCAACTTCAAGAGGAATTTTATTCAGCGTGGTTTTTTCTTTTCATTGTGTTCAGGCCAACGTGTAATACAGGCCTTTGGTAAACTAGGAATGATGTCGAACTCGACGAAACTGGATTCACGGTTAGTGTTTTCTTGCAAATTTACTTTTGACGTAACAGTAAATAATCTTGTTTCTTACCCCATGGATTTAAATTTCGATGTTAATGTTTACTGCGAAGTGAACCCTAACGCCTGAAATTTGAAGGAAATTTGTTACCTTTATTTTATATCTCTACAATGTGCATAGAGAGAACGTTTTCAACGCAATTACAATAACAGTTGCTAAATCTTTAAGGGGGCATATAATTAAGAATTTTTTTGCATAGGCTTGGTATAGACATTACATCATACAAATACATATACACACTTTTATTTTTAATTTTTTTCTATTTATTTTGCTAAAAAGGTATCTAGGTGAAGATGGCCTTTCACCTAATTACAACATTAACATACTGCTACAAAACTTTTCACGCGTTTTTATACGAACCAGTGAATTTAAGTTCAGGCTGACTGTTCTTAATTTTTTCGAAAATCTGAGGCTGGATTGTTCTAAATGTTTTTCTAAATAAAGAGGGTGTAAGCAGTGCAATTGCTAGTTTTTTCGCTCCAGGGAGGTTTCCAGGCCACATTTGCCAACAAATTGACTTAGACAACCTTCATTTTCATACAAATTTTAAAGTTCACCGATAACGCAACCACACCTGAAGTTTTCTGATGAAATTTTACAGTAGCTCAGCCTCAGCTTGTTGTTCATTTGTTCTTAACTTTTAACCAATTTTGAGGCTCGTGTTCTTATAAAATTGTTTTTATAAAAAAGTATGTATTTGTTTGATGCTGTAAGCGCCATCACGCTTGTTCATTTTTAAACATCAATTTTCAAAGTAAGTGCTTAAAATGTATCTTTAATCAGATAAACCGAGTCGCAGCTCCTTGTTTGCCAACGCTGCTCAAGCCAGTTTTTAAATGTATTCGAATTAGGTGCATGAACTACAGCTTTCGGTCGGCTGTTCTAATGCATCTTGGATATTTCCCAAATCTTATTGCCTCATTTAGATAGAACTGTCCGAATGGAGCCTGAAATATGATAAGCGATAAGGGGGGCCACAGCCCTTCCAGCCCCAATTTCTATTAGGCCTTTAATTCTACAACTTCAAAGTTTATCGAAGGGAGAACTTATTTTGTATTTAATTATTTTGAAGGGATATTCTACAAAGGACAAGAAGACACATTGAAATGAATGTCAAAAGAAACCAGGTCAAAGGACTCAACATCCTGGAATCCATGCAAAAGACCTCGTGTCAGGCGAGTTTATTTTAGTTTCTTTCCTTTTTTTCTCTCTGAGTGATGAAAATGATTAATGGCTCTGTTTGACCATTATACAATAAATAATTTCAGCAGACACCTGTTGAGATAAATGATTGGAACTAATTTCTTGCGAAAGAAAAAAGGTGTCATTTGACCTTATAAAAGAAATTGATTCAGCAAATGATGCAATTATTTGTAATTGATTCATTGTTTTGCTTTTCAGAGATATATTTACAATGTAGATCACTTTGCTTACTCTGCTTTCTATTTTCATTCAAAGAAACTCAAGGTTTCATCATTTCAAATTCTTCAAATGAATATAAAAATTTGTTGTTGATTTCACTTTTGCCGTTAGATCGAACATAGTGGTGCTCATATTAACCTTTTGAAAATTACTGCATCTTTAGAAATTTGTGGAGTGGTTCTCATATTAACCTTCCGAAAATTACTGCATCTTTAGAAATTTGTGGAGTGGTTCTCATATTAACCTTTTGAAAATTACTGCATCTTTAGGAATTTATGGAGTGGCATATTAACCTTTTGAAAATTACTGCATCCTTCAAAATTTGTGAAGTGGCTCCAACAGAGCCTTTTAGCCTCCATACTTTCTCGGTCCCCGCTACAAATCATTTAAAAAGGGAACAGTAACAGTTTAATTATTAAACAGGATAAACAAAGCAAACTATTAAACATTATTCTAAAGGGTCTGCAGGTCTGTAATATCTTAAAGAAATATCTTCCAGAAGGAATTCGTTTAGAAGCATATGATAGTTCACAAGGTACCATTAAAGAACACTCAAAATTTATTGAATGGCGAAATGTCTCCTAGAAAATTGACTATATCAAATTGGTCAGACAACAAAATATCATTAAAGATTTTGTTGTTTATAATTTAAAAAAAGGAATGCTAGAAACATAAAAACAAAGAAAAATAAAAAAATTATTTTAATATTTAATCATATTATGAAATTCGAAGGTACATTGTTTAAAAAACTATGGCAGTTAGAAAACTATGGCAGTTGAAAGTCGGTGTAAAAGAGGCTGAGTTCGAGGTTTTTTTAACATACGAAATGGAAGGGCAATTGCCCCTGCAGCGCCAATAACATTCCATTGTTTAAAAAATAGGTTATTGTCTTCCTCTCCATATAAAAAAGGTTTGCACCGCAGCTATTTATGAACAGCCTGATACGATTCTTCGTTGAAGGTCCTTCTTAAATGATTTGTTTTTGGTGGAACTACTTATGTCAAAAAGATAACATTGTCGGTTAAACTGATAAATGGTCCTTCTTGTGTTTATAGAATACCTTAAATGATTCTTTGTTGAAGGTCCATCTTAAATGTGTTGCGTTTGGTTGAAATACGTGCAGTTGAAGGAAAACATTGCTGTATAAACTGATAAATGATCCTTTCTTGTGTTTATAGAAAGCTTTAAATGATTCTTCGTTTAAGATACATCTTAAATGAATCGTGTTTGGTCGAACTACTTACAGCAAAAAGAAAACATGGCTGGTTTAACTGATAAATGTACCTTTCTTGTGTTTATAGAAAACATTAAAAATTCTTTCTTAAAAGTCCATCTAAAATATTTTGTATTTGATGGAAGTACTTGCGGCAAAAAGAAATCGTGGCTTGTTTAATTTATATATGGTCCTTTCTTGTGTTTATATAAAACTTTAAATGTTTTTTCCTTCAAGGTCGATCGTAATTGAATTGTGTTTGATCGAACTTTTGACAGTGAAAAGAAAACATGGCAAGTTAAACTGATAAATGGTCCTTCTTGTGTTTATACAAAATCTTCAATGATTTGTCGTTAAAGGGTCCATCTTACAAGTGATGCGTTTGGTCCAAATACGTGCTGTAAAAGGACAACAGGGCTGTTTGAACTCGTATAGGTCCTTCATTGTGTTTATAAAATGCTTTAAATAATTTTTTGCTTAAATTCCAACTTAAATGAAGTGTCGAACTTTTTGGTCGAACTAATTACGGTGAAAAGAAAATATAGCCCGTTAGACTAATAAATGGTCAATTCTTGTATTTTTAAAAAGCCTGGAATGATTCTTTGTTAAAATTCCATCTTTAATGAGTTGTGTATGGTCGAACTACTGACGGCAAAAAGAAAACATGGTTGGTTAAGCTGATGAATGGTCCTTTCTTGTCTTTATTTAAAACCTTTTAATGATTCTTCCTTTAAGTTCCATTTTAAATGTATTGCGTTTGGTCCAAATATGTGCGGTGGAAAGAAACATGGCTGGTTAAACTGATAAATGGTCCTTCTTCTGTTTATAGAATATCTTCAATGATTCTTCGTTAAAGGTCCATCTTAACTGTGTTGCGCTTGGTCCAAATATGTGCGGTGGAAAGAAAACATGGTTGGTTAAACTGATAAATGGTCCTTCTTCTGTTTATAGAATATCTTTAATGATTCTTCGTTAAAGGTCCATCTTAACTGTGTTGCGCTTGATCCAAATATGTGCGGTGGAAAGGAAATATGGTTGGTTAAACTGATAAATGGTCCTTCTTGTGTTTATAGAATACCTTAAATGATTCTTCGCTAAAGGTCCATCTTAACAGTGTTGCGTTTGGTCCAAATATGTGCGGTGGAAAGAAAACATGGCTGGTTAAACTGATAAATGGTCCTTCTTTTGTTTATAGAATACCTTAAATGATTCTTCGTTAAAGGTCCATCTTAACTGTGTTGCGTTTGGTCCAAATATGTGCGGTGGAAATAAAACATGACTGGTTAAACTGATAAATGGCCCTTCTTGTGCTTATAGAATACCTTAAATGATTCTTCGTTAAAGGTCCATCTTACCTGTGTTGCGTTTGGTCCAAATATGTGCGGTGGAAATAAAACATGACTGGTTAAACTCATAAATGGTCCTTCTTGTGTTCATAGAATATGTTAAATGATTCTTCGTTAAAGGTCCATCTCAAATGAATTTTTTTGTGGAACGACTTATTGCAAAAAGAAAACATGGTCGGTTAAACTGATAAATGGTCCTTGCTTCTCTTTAAAGAAGAACATTAAATAATTTTTCGTTAAAGTTCCATCTTGAATGAATTGTGTTTGGTCAAACTATTTACGGTGAAAAGAAAACATGGTTAGTTAAATTGATGAAAGTTCCTTCTTGTGTTTATAGAATACTTTAAATGATTTTTCGTTAGAGGTCTGTCTTAAATGAATTTTTTTTGTCCAACGATTTACGGCATAAAGAAAACATGGTCGGTAAAACTGGTAAATAGTCCTTTCCTGTGTTTATGGAATACCTTAAATGTTTCTTCGTTAAAGGTCCATCTTAACTGTGTTGCGTTTGGTCCAAATATGTGCGGTGGAAATAAAACATTACTGGTTAAACTCATAGATGGTCCTTCTTGTGTTCATAGAATATGTTAAATGATTCTTCGTTAAAGGTCCATCTCTAATGAATTTTTTTTTGGAACTACTTATTGCAAAAAAGAAAACATGGTCGGTAAAACTGGTAAATAGTCCTTTCCTGTGTTTATGGAATACCTTAAATGATTCTTCGTTAAAGGTCCATCTTAACTGTGTTGGGTTTGGTCCGAATATGTGCGGTGGAAAGAAACATGGCTGGTTAAACTGATAAACGGTCCTTCTTCTGTTTATAGAATATCTTAAATGATTCTTCTTTAAAGGTCCATCTTAACTGTGTTGCGCTTGGTCCAAATATGTGCGGTGGAAAGAAAACATGGTTGGTTAAACTGATAAATGGTCCTTCTTCTGTTTATAGAATATCTTTAATGATTCTTCGTTAAAGGTCCATCTTAACTGTGTTGCGCTTGGTCCAAATATGTGCGTTGGAAAGAAAACATGGTTGGCTAAACTGATAAATGGTCCTTCTTGTGTTCATAGAATACCTTAAATGATTCTTCGTTAAGGTCCATCTCAAATGAATTTTTTGGTGGAACGACTTATTGCAAAAAGAAAACATGGTCGGTTAAACTGATAAATGGTCCTTGCTTGTCTTTAAAGAAGAACATTAAATAATTCTTCGTGAAAGTTCCATCTTGAATGAATTGTGTTTGGTCAAACTACTTACGGTGTTGTTTTTTGTCGAAATATGTTAATTGAATACAACACCGGGCTTGTCAAACTGTTGAATGCTCTATCCCTGTAGTGAAAAATACGAGTTTATACTTTTTTCTTTTTTAAAGGGCCATGTTTGGTCAACATTTGTTTGATGAAGGGAAAAAAGGACTTTTTCATTTAACAATTTTTTTGTTTAAAAATTTGCATAAATTTTCGAAATGTTGATTGATGAAAAGTTCTTTATAAAAGAGGAATTGAATTCTGATAATAGATAAATTATATATTTGATTATATATCTGAAAACTATAAATTATTTTTAGATTTTGCAGCAGCAATTTTGAAGTCAACTTGATAAAGTAAAAAATTTAAGAAAATATTAGTCTAGCTATAAATTTCTGCCTAAGTATCCATTGACAAAAGTTTTGAAAGAACAATGAATCTAACTTCTTTTAAGAGTTCTTTTTAAGCATTTGGCTGCCAAGACCCTTCAACTCAAAATGTGGTAATGTAACCAACTCAAGTGGTAATCTTTATGGGTATTTTCTTATATATATTATATTATATCAGATTATGATCTTTTATCGTTGAAATTCAAACAGATATCTTGAAATTGTAGAACTCTAACGGAAAGTGAACGCTTTTCATAGTACTTGATATAATATTTTCCAATGAAACCTGGACACATATCTTATTAAAGGTGATAGTTATTCGTGATTTTAATGTTGCTGTGAAAGTAGAAATATTTCTGTTTAGTAAGATAAAGAGCTAGGAGAAAAAATTCAACTTGTTAATCGCCAGAACTAGAACAACTTTAATTGCAATCTTTGTCCTCCATGTAAAGCAGATTTGCCAACAGATATGATATTTCTTAAAAAAACTTCTTATTCATGCATACCATAGAGCTGGACGCCGTGGCGAGTTGACTGGAGACAGCTTTAAAAGAGCAAAATGACAGTGAGTTATATGAATTTATTTTTATGATACCTTTAACAAGAGGCCAAAAATAAAGAGAATATAAATCAAGAATTTTAACATTGTCTTGGGACATGTAAGCAGCTAGTTATCTAGTATTTTACGTTTGTTGTACGTAATTAGTGGCTATCACGTCGGCATACCTAAATCTAGATATTTCCTGACGTTTCCTTTGGAAGAAACAAAGAGGAAAGTAGCAAATATTTGAAAAATAATTCAGAATTGTGTGTCATTTTGCGAGATAGGATTTCTAAACAATGCGAGATGAACTATGAAACAAGCCTCACCATAAATGACCTCTAAACATAAGTTCAAGACACTTTTGAACATATTATCAATGAATTTTCCTTTATCTCATTAAATCTCTAAACTTTGAAAATGAAAATAAAATGAATTATTGCAGTCGAATTTGTTGTGTCTAGATGGTCGTAATTTATAAAACTGCTTTTTAGATTCTTGTTGCCAACGAAGCTAAAGAGCCAACAGACGATAATTCAATGGAGATAAATGCTGTTTAGCTGAAGAGTCGACAAAGGTACGTTTCAAAAATTCATGATTTTTCTTTTGTATCATTATTCTATAACATTTTGAGTGCTTGGAAATTTTCGATTAATTTTGAGGAATTATCAAAAGTAAGATAGACGATCAAACAACGGACATTCAAAACTTAAAAAAAGTCATTTGGTTTAAATAAGATGAAATGATGATAGAAGAGGTAAAAAATTTCTCTACAACCCCCGAATCGTGGTGATCAAGATACAACAACATCATCAAAGTAAAAACAAGATACTGCGGATTCAAAACAGTCAGATATGCAAAATAAACTGAATTTAGACTCTTTTTTGTACCGAACTAAGCCGTTTAGACATTTGAAATTATTTCCAAAATTGTTCTCATATTTAATTATCCACAACTTAAATGGTATAATAATAATTTGCTAGATCGATATGAAAAATATGAATCTTTGGAACTCAGAGACATAGCATTCCAATGACGAAAAAGCTATTGAGCAGAATACACTCATTGCAGCATTCTAGGAGAAAACTGCTAAAGCCACAAGGAGTAGGTGAGTTTGTTTCGATCGCACTTTCTAAACAGTTATTTGAATATATTCATATCGTGTTTATTATGCTCAATATTCCACCCGAGGCCGACGTGTGAAAAAGGCAATAATTCAGAGATTTCAAGTTACAAAAAAAGCAGACTAAAATTATCTGATGGTGAACAGTTGTTCACGTGTACTACATATATTCTTGCAACAGAAGATTGTAAAATAAAGGAAGATAGCGATACAATTTACAAAGAAGAATCAAACTGAAATTATTTACATCAATTTTCTACATTTGATGTCGGGTATTTGAGTGATTCGCAGTCTAATCGATTCGGATAAAAAAAGGCTTTTCTTTAAAAACATCTACATTCAATGATAAGAAAATATGCGAATGAATTCAAAATGCTGGTGTTTCGAGGGGACTCATTTTATTGGCTATTTAACAGCGCGCTTGAATTTAAACTCGTTTCTATTCTACGAAAGCAGAGGAGAGGGTGTATCAAAAAATCATTGTCATCATTGTCGTTTTGTGTTCGAGTTGGTCGTTTTCATCGTATTTATCGACGTCGTGTTGGCCAGCATGCTTGTCACATTGAAGAGTTTTGAACTTTTGCACATACAATTAATGCTGTAAGCTAAACTTTTTCTGGGGATCTTTTGTGCGGCGTCCTCATGAGGAATATAAACAGCTTGTTTACCAATCTAAGATTTTCCTGGCTATCTAGACAATGCTATGATCGTATATTATCATGAGAGCAACAAGAGCTGTTTAAGAATACTCTTTTTGTTGTGTTGGAGAGAGCTTATCTTGGTGTTGTTCTTAATCTCATTCGCTGTTGCTTTCTATTGGCCGTTGATTTATTTTGTCAGAGTTTTATAGATGGCTATCTTTGTTTCTCATCTTTTTCTCCCTTGAAAGGCTGATTTTTATGGATTCTGACTATTGTTAGCAAGTTTACGATGGACGTGTTGTTGTAACAAATTTCTTTGCTATGAACTCTCGGTATTGACATTTTAACAGCTAAACTGATAAATAGTCCATTCATGTACTTATAAAAAGCCTGAAGTGATTCTTCGTTGAAGTTACATCTTAATTGAATTGTGTTTGGTCGAACTACTTGCAATGAAGAAGAAAACATGGCAGGTCAACCAGATAAATGGTCCATTTTTGTGTTTATACAAAATCTTCAATGATTTGTCGTTAAAGGGTCCATCTTACAAGTGATGCGTTTGGTCCAAAGACTTGCGGTCAAAGGAAAACATGGCTGTTAGAACTCGTATAGGTCCTTCATTGTGGTTATAAAATGCTTTAAATAATTTTTTGCTTAAGGTCCAACTTAAATGAAGTGTCGAACTTTTTGGTCGAACTAATTACGGTGAAAAGAAAATATAGCCGGTTAAACTAATAAATGGTCAATTCTTGTATTTTTAAAAAGCCTGGAATGATTCTTTGTTAAAATTCCATCTTTAATGAGTTGTGTATGGTCGAACTACTCACGGCAAAAAGAAAACATGGTTGGTTAAACTGAAGAATGGTCCTTTCTTGTCTTTATTTAAAACCCTTTAATGATTCTTCCTTTAAGTTCCATTTTAAATGTATTGCGTTTGGTCCAAATATGTGCGGTGGAAAGAAACATGGCTGGTTAAACTGATAAATGGTCCTTCTTCTGTTTATAGAATATCTTAAATGATTCTTCGTTAAAGGTCCATCTTAACTGTGTTGCGTTTGGTCCAAATATGTGCGGTGGAAAGAAAACATGGTTGGTTAAACTGATAAATGGTCCTTCTTGTGCTTATAGAATACCTTGAATGATTTATTCGTTAAAGGTCCATCTTAACTGTGTTGCGTTTGGTCCAAATATGTGCGGTGGAAAGAAAACATGGTTGGCTAAACTGATAAATGGTCCTTCTTGTGTTCATAGAATAACTTAAATGATTCTTCGTGAAAGGTCCATCTTAACTGTGTTGCGTTTGGTCCAAATATGTGCAATGGAAAGAAAACATGGTTGGTTAATTTGATAAATGGTCCTTCTTGTGCTTATAGAATACCTTAAATGATTCTTCGTTGAAGGTCCATTTTAACTGTGTTGCGTTTGGTCCAAATATGTGCGGTGGAAAGAAAACATGGTTGGTTAATCTGATAAATGGTCCTTCTTGTGCTTATAGAATACCTTAAATGATTCTTCGTTGAAGATCCATCTTAACTGTGTTGCGTTTGATCCAAATATGTGCGGTGGAAAGAAAACATGGTCGGCTAAACTGATAAATGGTCCTTCTTGTGTTTATAGAATACCTCAAATGATTCTTCGTTAAAGGTCCATCTTAACTGTGTTGCGTTTGGTCCAAATATGTGCGTTGGAAAGAAAACATGGTTGGCTAAACTGATAAATGGTCCTTCTTGTGCTTATAGAATACCTTAAATGATTTATTCGTTGAAGGTCCATCTAACTGTGTTGCGTTTGATCCAAATATGTGCGGTGGAAAGAAAACATGGTCGGCTAAACTGATAAATGGTCCTTCTTGTGTTCATAGAATACCTTAAATGATTCTTCGTTAAAGGTCCATCTTAACTGTGTTGCGTTTGGTCCAAATATGTGCGGTGGAAAGAAAACATGGTTGGTTAAACCATAGTCTATAGAATTGGGACGGTCTGGAAACCTTTTGTCTTGATATAAGGAAGCCGCCTCGGATGTTGAGGCAACTAGTTTCCAGGCCCTTCTCAAGATCGAACGTGCACAAGGATTTTGAGAAGTCGAAAAGATGGAGTTGGAGAGTGAACTAAATGATTGCGATATAATCTTGCAATTGCTCGATGAGAATTTTTTTGCAGATTCCGCTGAACTTCAATTAGATTTCGAGCGGGCAGTAGATGAGGTAGGTTATGTTTTGTTGCCATCATTGTGCCTTACTTGCTATCGGTCACAACTAGGCCATTATGAATTAGATTATATTATATAAATTACATTTAGATATTATGAATGAAGTAATTCAACGCTACTTTACATGATACGTAAATGATGAACACAAATAACAAATTAACTCATGATTTACCGTATATACGAAAATTAAAAAAAAAATTGGAGCGTTAGGGTAAAAACCTCAAGTAAAATTTTCACCCTTTCCGTTTACTGTTTTAGGCCTTCTAGAGCTAGTAGCCAAAAAGTTTTACAGAATTTTTGCTCAATCTTGGCTAGCTGTAAATTTTCATTTTATACACAGGTTCAAGAGAACATTGTGGAATGCCCTGAGTGTCAAAAAGTCTATAAAACGAAAGGGGGACTCAGAAGACATCAAAAGGCAAAACATCCTGATCCTGGTCATAAGCCTGAGTCTCCAGAACTTGACCTTACACAGGATATTTATGAAAACTTGGTGAATAATGGGGCCAAATCATTAGCGTCTGACCTTTGTCTTCCTCCAGCAGAAAGGGCAGCATTTTTGTCATACACATTCAAAGTAGATAACTGTCATGCAACAAATGGACTTCACTTGGCTCAGAATTTGTTCAAAGTTTTGGTACATAAAGCAAATGCTGCGAAGTTTTACAAGGTATTTTATGCCCAATTTGTAGCTAAAGCAAATTCATACCTCCCAGAATTGTCAGAGCAACAAGCAGTTTTCCTTGCAATGAAATTGGCAGACAGTCTACTTGTAGTACAGGAAGAGCAAAAACCCTCTGCAGACATGGGAATGCCTCAGGTTGAAATAACGGAAAAAGAAAAGTTGGCAATGCAGTATCTAGGTGGATATGTGCTTTTTAACCTTAACAAGAAGTTTCATCATGCACGGGTTTATTCTAAATTAGAAAGCCAAAACTGCATAATGATTCTTCAAGCTGGAAGATATCAGGATGATTCATCTCAAAAGCTTATTGAATCTTTAAATCGTGGTGGACTTTGGTACATCAACAATATTGTACAACAGATATTACTTGCGACTGAGATGGCATTTAGAAGGCATACAACAAACATTATTGCTACTAAAGAGATAGACACTAATAAAATTATTAATACACTAGTGAAGGAGGTGGCTATCAAAGCTCTCTATGAAAACTGGGTTACTTTGTCAGAGGTATCCATTGATGAAGCTGTGGCACAAGATCTTTTGGAAAAAATTTTGTCACTGTACATTCGTGTTAGAGCTTTTTCTTGCACAAAGGACATTGTAAATAAATATAGAAAAAAGCATAAGAAGGATAAGGCATTACGACGAGGATTAAAAAAGGCAGATGAGGCTGACAATTAAGCATTGAAAACTTCTTTTTATAGATACTCTTTCTGGTTACTTTTACTCTAATAACTAATTATTTTAATAACTGGACTTGACTAGAAATAAACCTACAATAGCAAGCAAGAGTTGAAAGTTAAAGAAATTGTTTAGAATAGTTCAATCACACTTCATCCATTTAAAGCAAAAGTCTTAAATCTTTTTTTCTCAAGAAGTTATTTCCCTAGAATTTAGCAAAACTTTACCCTTAATTTCAGCAAGCCAACTGTTACCCTTAATTTCAGCATTTAATTACCTTTCTACTAAATGAAACATTTTAATAAATTTTTTTCGTAAATGTAAGCAAGGTTTTCAGGGTTTTCTAATTAAATCATTAAACTCGCTTTAATTGCTTTTTCATCACTAAATGACAGAAAATTCGAAAAAGGTCCTCAAATCCAACTAGTTGGTTTTTCTGTTTTGCAATACTTTGTTCTAAAGTGTAATTGTTTATAAAAATTCATAAGAGTTAATGTACTGTTTACGAGTCAAGTTTTCTTTTCTTGATTGTTTCTTTTGTGAGAAGAGGTTCATCTGTGGTTTCTTTCCAGCGTTTTTCTGAACTTTTTTTTGTAGAAGTCACATTGCCTTTGATCTGTAACACTGATCTTTGAACTCTTATAATATTGTCATTATATCCAAAATCTTTCACAGTTGGATTTTCATTTCGTCGACCAATGCCTCTTTGTTTTCCAAAATATTCTTCTAAAGGGTCTTGACAGAAACGATTTGACAAGACATACTCCATCCCACTACTTAAAAGAAATCTTACAGTTTCAATTAAGGAGTGCACCGTGATCATGAAACCTTCATGTGTCTGTTTTGAGATGAACATCTTGGCTTTATCAGCCTCTGAAAATGTCCCCTCTCTCCTCTCAATACTACTTTTCCAAGTCTCAAGGTACTTCAGAAAGGTTTCTTTCAGCCAAGTCAACCTTTCATCTTCAAGACTTCTGTATGGTAGCAAATATGGTTTCCGTTTACCATAACCTTCCTTGAGTGACCTCACATTCATGCAGTCAAAGAAAGAGTCAATGTGCTCACAGAATTCAGCAGTGGCTGCTGCATCAGGAGGCCCAAAATCTCTTAAAATGTTTGCTACAGTTTGGCTCAAAACTTGTGCTGCCAAGTTTACTTTCATAACAGAAAATGAAGTCAGCTCAACATGTTCAGTAGTAAGCTTGGGCAAAAAATGTAGACCATTCTCTAGATCATTGTAATACAGAGTGGATATGTGGCTCCACAAGAGATAACATCCATTGTTCCACATCAAACGGGAACCTCGACCTGACCCTGAATTGTGTAGACAATTTCTGCTTGTTTTCACTAAGTGTGGAGGGTCACTGAAGAAGTAGATGTATCTGTCTTTGGCAAACAAATTCAATGTCCTGTGAACAATATTTGCACTTCCTCTTCCGTCCAAGTCTTCATGCATTTTAAAAAAATTCCTGTTGGATGATGCACCATCACAAATAACAGCAATGATAGCAAGCTTGCATGTCATTTCTAATAACCCAACTGCCTTCCAAAAGATTGGAAACATCTGGTGACCAGTGACAGCGGTTGTAGCAAAATATGCCATTGACATTTTGAGCTTTGTCTGAATCCCTCTTATCATAAAAACCAGCATGTGTGTTGCCAATGCATCTGTTTCTTTAAGGGTTGCAAAATTCGTGTCAGGATCACCTAAATCAACAAACCCAACAAGTTTTCCAGAATGTTTATTCCATACAAGATTGTCTTGCACCTTCATTTCATCAACAAGCAACACAATATAGCGCTGGAGGCCTTGGTAGTCTCTAGAAGCATCAATCAAATCTGCAATGACATCAGGATTGAAGCCACACTTTGGAGAAACTGCATTTCGATAATTTTGAAGCATCCTTTTGCTTGGAAGTTCCAATAAACCCCCATCCTTGAAAGTTTCTCTCAGCTCTTCATAAGCCGATGCAGATTTTGAGCTTATTGATAAGCACCATCTAATGATCATGGGGTGATAACGACGACCAAAAGAGGGTCTGTCTGAGATTTTCTTTTGCTGCTCCCAAAACAGCTTCATGAATGGGGTCATCTTTTGTGAATGCTTGTCAATAATAGAAAGTAGGTCTTTGTCAAGCTCGTGGTCTAAAGACTTGCTGTTCATTTCTATTTCAACTTTCATTTTCCCTAATTCTTTCAGCAATTGCTTGTTTTGCAGTCTGCTTTCCTGCAGTGCAAGTCTGATTCTTTCAACAGATGTCCCTTTGATTGGTGCCTTTGCTTGTGCAGGAACAGAAAGCTTTGCCCTTGACTTTCTTTTCTTTTTTTCCTGCTTGAGCCCAAGGTCAGAACAGCTGTTACACATGCAGCCCCCAACATCATCTGATTTTATCAGAACCAAACAGCTTTTTGCTCTGATGTATTCTTTGCAAGGAAACGGAGAGTTTACTGAATCACCCTCGAATTGATTCACTAATATTGGTACAACATGCCTTACAGTTCCTTCATCACCTAATGATGTGCTGCCTGAGCAAATCATGAGACTGTGAAGATTAAGCAGCAGGTCTGACACAGTTACATTGCGAACAGACCTTCTAAAGTCCTCGTACAGAAAGTGGCTTCCTGGTATGAAGTACCCAAAGACAGAGATAGTGAAACTCAAACTTTCATCAATCATCACGCTGAGTTTTGGTACAAGAGATTCTGAATCCATGTGATTTAGAGTGAAATAATCTTCATTATCAGTCTCTGCAACACACCAATCTTTTAAAACAAGTTTTCCAACTCGCTTTTTTAGCTCCAGAAGTGACTTGTAGTAGAAATGTTGTTTGTCTTCAATTGGAATTGACTGAACAACTGTCCTTGGTTCTCTTTTTACACAATTTGTTTTTGTAAAGTGAAACGATTTTACTGGCATGTTTAATGAAGGCAGGACTCCTTTTTTCAAAAATCTCTTGGTCATTTTCTCACCTTCATCTGTGAAGAAATTAAACTCGCATAAAGAAAAAAAGCCTAGTTAGGTTAAATAAAAAGATTTGTTTACATTTGGTTTTAGGATTGATAAAATTCAAGATTTTATAACGAATCTTGTGCATTGTATTTGCATATAACTTGAATGATTAAAATTATAAAGCTTCCGTAGCTAAGAACCAAAATCAAAAGTACATATTTACTTGTTTTAATATTTCCATTATTTGTTTTTAAAACCTGACTACGATCAGATATAAAGTACAGGTTAGCAAAGCATATCCAAATGGATGTCGATTAACTTCATGTCGTACATGTGGAGGAGTTTTTTTGGGTTGTATTAACGAATCACATCTCGCCAAGGGTCCGGGAACGCTCCCCTTCCAATATGACATCCAGCAAAACATGTTATTCGGATTCACAATGTCCTATGAACTTGCCGTAGACCAACAAAACAAGTAAACTTAGTATAGTTGAACTTACATATCTCGATATCTTCCGGACGAAAATGTTTTTCACATATGTGTAGTGTATTAGCAGCTAGCTGACGCTTGAAACCTTCATCTTCTACACGATATTTTTTCAGAACGGCCAAAACTTTTTCTCGCCATTCCTTCGTCTCAACATCGTCGGAACGCCTTGGAGTTGGCAGTTTGAACAGCCCAATTCCTTTCGATCTTCGACTTGTACCGCATTGATTGAAGGCACAATTATCGCCAGGCATCCCTGACTCGCACTTAAGCAGTTATTTTCGAGCAAATTTATGCAAACATAGAATATGTATCAAGATCGCCGGCAACATGCACAAGCATTTTCATAACATGCGTCTCTTCAACCCGACTAGTGTGTGCACGTTCGATACCACGTGACCGCATTTTTCGTAAACAAAAACATGACATCGGGAAGAACAAAAGGCTTCCAGACCGTCCCAATTCTATAGACTATGGTTAAACTGATAAATGGTCCTTCTTGTGCTTATAGAATGCCTTAAATGATTTTTCGTTGAAGGTCCATTTTAACTGTGTTGCGTTTGGTCCAAATATGTGCGGTGGAAAGAAAACATGGTTGGCTAAACTGATAAATGGTCCTTCTTGTGCTTATAGAATACCTTAAATGATTTATTTGTTGAAGGTCCATCTTAACTGTGTTGCGTTTGATCCAAATATGTGCGGTGGAAAGAAAACATGGTTGGTTAAACTGATAAATGGTCCTTCTTGTGCTTATAGAATGCCTTAAATGATTTTTCGTTGAAGGTCCATTTTAACTGTGTTGCGTTTGGTCCAAATATGTGCGGTGGAAAGAAAACATTTTTGGTTAAACTGATAAATGGCCCTTCTTGTGCTTATAGAATACCTTAAATGATTCTTCGTTAAAGGTCCATCTTAACTGTGTTGCGTTTGGTCCAAATATGTGCGTTGGAAATAAAACATGACTGTTTAAACCGATAAATGGTCCTTCTTGTTTTCATAGAATATGTTAAATGATGCTTCGTTAAAGGTCCATCTCAAATGAATTTTTTTGGTGGAACGACTCATTGCAAAAAGAAAACATGGTCGGTTAAACTGATAAATGGTCCTTGCTTGTCTTTAAAGAAGAACATTAAATAATTCTTCGTGAAAGTTCCATCTTGAATGAATTGTGTTTGGTCAAACTACTTACGGTGTTGTTTTTTGTCGAAATATGTTAATTGAATACAACACCGGGCTTGTCAAACTGTTGAATGCTCTATCCCTGTAGTGAAAAATACGAGTTTATACTTTTTTCTTTTTCAAAGGGCCATGTTTGGTCAACATTTGTTTGATGAAGGGAAAAAAGGACTTTTTCATTTACCAATTTTTTTGTTTAAAAATTTGCATAAATTTTCGAAATGTTGATTGATGAAAAGTTCTTTATAAAAGAGGAATTGAATTCTGATAATAGATAAATTATATATTTGATTATATATCTGAAAACTATAAATTATTTTTAGATTTTGCAGCAGCAATTTTGAAGTCAACTTGATAAAGTAAAAAATTTAAGAAAATATTAGTCTAGCTATAAATTTCTGCCTAAGTATCCATTGAAAAAAGTTTTGAAAGAACAATGAATCTAACTTCTTTTAAGAGTTCTTTTTAAGCATTTGGCTGCCAAGACCCTTCAACTCAAAATGTGGTAATGTAACCAACTCAAGTGGTAATCTTTATGGGTATTTTCTTATATATATTATATTATATCAGATTATGATTTTTTATCGTTGAAATTCAAACAGATATCTTGAAATTGTAGAACTCTAACGGAAAGTGAATGCTTTTCATAGTACTTGATATAATATTTTCCAATGAAACCTGGACACATATCTTATTAAAGGTGATAGTTATTCGTGATTTTAATGTTGCTGTGAAAGTAGAAATATTTCTGTTTAGTAAGATAAAGAGCTAGGAGAAAAAATTCAACTTGTTAATCGCCAGAACTAGAACAACTTTAATTGCAATCTTTGTCCTCCATGTAAAGCAGATTTGCCAACAGATATGATATTTCTTAAAAAAACTTCTTATTCATGCATACCATAGAGCTGGACACCGTGACGAGTTGACTGGAGACAGCTTTAAAAGAGCAAAATGACAGTGAGTTATATGAATTTATTTTTATGATACCTTTAACAAGAGGCCAAAAATAAAGAGAATATAAATCAAGAATTTTAACATTGTCTTGGGACATGTAAGCAGCTAGTTATCTAGTATTTTACGTTTGTTGTACGTAATTAGTGGCTATCACGTCGGCATACCTAAATCTAGATATTTCCTGACTTTTCCTTTGAAAGAAACAAAGAGGAAAGTAGCAAATATTTGAAAAATAATTCAAAATTGTGTGTCGTCTTGCGAGATAGGATTTCTAAACAATGCGAGATGAACTATGAAACAAGCCTCACCATAAATGACCTCTAAACATAAGTTCAAGACACTTTTGAACATATTATCAATGAATTTTCCTTTATCTCATTAAATCTCTAAACTTTGAAAATGAAAATAAAATGAATCATTGCAGTCGAATTTGTTGTGTCTAGATGGTCGTAATTTATAAAACTGCTTTTTAGATTCTTGTTGCCAACGAAGCTAAAGAGCCAGCAGACGATAATTCAATGGAGATAAATGCTGTTTAGCTGAAGAGTCGACAAAGGTACGTTTCAAAAATTCATGATTTTTCTTTTGTATCATTATTCTATAACATTTTGAGTGCTTGGAAATTTTCGATTAATTTTGAGGAATTATCAAAAGTAAGATAGACGATCAAACAACGGACATTCAAAACTTAAAAAAAAGTCATTTGGTTTAAATATGATGAAATGATGATAGAAGAGGTAAAAAATTTCTCTACAACCCCCGAATCGTGGTGATCAAGATACAACAACATCATCAAAGTAAAAACAAGATACTGCCGATTCAAAACAGTCAGATATGCAAAATAAACTGAATTTAGACTCTTTTTTTGTACCGAACTAAGCCCTTTAGACATTTGAAATTATTTCCAAAATTGTTCTCATATTTAATTATCCACAACGTAAATGGTATAATAATAATTTGCTAGATCGATATGAAAAATATGAATCTTTGGAACTCAGAGACATAGCATTCCAATGACGAAAAGCTATTGAGCAGAATACACTCATTGCAGCATTCTAGGAGAAAACTGCTAAAGCCACAAGGAGTAGGTGAGTTTGTTTCGATCGCACTTTCTAAACAGTTATTTGAATATATTCATATCGTGTTTATTATGCTCAATATTCCACCCGAGGCCGACGTGTGAAAAAGGCAATAATTCAGAGATTTCAAGTTACAAAAAAAGCACACTAAAATTATCTGATGGTGAACAGTTGTTCACGTGTACTACATATATTCTTGCAACAGAAGATTGTAAAATAAAGGAAGATAGCGATACAATTTACAAAGAAGAATCAAACTGAAATTATTTACATCAATTTTCTACATTTGATGTCGGGTATTTGAGTGATTCGCAGTCTAATCGATTCGGATAAGAAAAGGCTTTTCTTTAAAAACATCTACATTCAATGATAAGAAAATATGCGAATGAATTCGAATTGCTGGTGTTTCGAGGAGACTCATTTTATTGGCTATTTAACAGCGCGCTTGAATTTAAACTCGTTTCTATTCTACGAAAGCAGAGGAGAGGGTGTATCAAAAAATCATTGTCATCATTGTCGTTTTGTGTTCGAGTTGGTCGTTTTCATCGTATTTATCGACGTCGTGTTGGCCAGCATGCTTGTCACATTGAAGAGTTTTGAACTTTTGCACATACAATTAATGCTGTAAGCTAAACTTTTTCTGGGGATCTTTTGTGCGGCGTCCTCATGAGGAATATAAACAGCTTGTTTACCAATCTAAGATTTTCCTGGCTATCTAGACAATGCTATGATCGTATATGATCATGAGAGCAACAAGAGCTGTTTAAGAATACTCTTTTTGGTTGTGTTGGAGAGAGCTTATCTTGGTGTTGTTCTTAATCTCATTCGCTGTTGCTTTCTATTGGCCATTGATTTATTTTGTCAGAGTTTTAAAGATGGCTATCTTTGTTTCTCATCTTTTTCTCCCTTGAAAGGCTGATTTTTATGGATTCTGACTATTGTAAGGAAGTTTACGATGGACGTGTTGTTGTAACAAATTTCTCTTGCTATGAACTCTCGGTATTGACATTTTAACAGCTAAACTGATAAATAGTCCATTCATGTACTTTTAAAAAGCCTGAAGTGATTCTTCGTTGAAGTTACATCTTAATTGAATTGTGTTTGGTCGAACTACTTGCAATGAAGAAGAAAACATGGCAGGTCAACCAGATAAATGGTCCATTTTTGTGTTTATACAAAATCTTCAATGATTTGTCGTTAAAGGGTCCATCTTACAAATGATGCGTTTGGTCCAAAGACTTACGGTCAAAGGAAAACATGGCTGTTAGAACTCGTATAGGTCCTTCATTGTGGTTATAAAATGCTTTAAATAATTTTTTGCTTAAGGTCCAACTTAAATGAAGTGTCGAACTTTTTGGTCGAACTAATTACGGTGAAAAGAAAATATAGCCGGTTAAACTAATAAATGGTCAATTCTTGTATTTTTAAAAAGCCTGGAATGATTCTTTGTTAAAATCCATCTTTAATGAGTTATGTATGGTCGAACTACTGACGGCAAAAAGAAAACATGGTTGGTTAAACTGATGAATGGTCCTTTCCTATCTTTATTTAAAACCTTTTAAAGATTCTTCCTTTAAGTTCCATTTTAAATGTATTGCGTTTGGTCCAAATATGTGCGATGGAAAGAAACATGGCTGGTTAAACTGATAAATGGTCCTTCTTCTGTTTATAGAATATCTTAAATGATTCTTCGTTAAAGGTCCATCTTAACTGTGTTGCGTTTGGTCCAAATATGTGCGGTGGAAAGAAAACATGGTTGGTTAAACTGATAAATGGTCCTTCTTGTGCTTATAGAATACCTTGAATGATTTATTCGTTAAAGGTCCATCTTAACTGTGTTGCGTTTGGTCCAAATATGTGCGGTGGAAAGAAAACATGGTTGGCTAAACTGATAAATGGTCCTTCTTGTGTTCATAGAATAACTTAAATGATTCTTCGTGAAAGGTCCATCTTAACTGTGTTGCGTTTGGTCCAAATATGTGCAATGGAAAGAAAACATGGTTGGTTAATTTGATAAATGGTCCTTCTTGTGCTTATAGAATACCTTAAATGATTCTTCGTTGAAGGTCCATTTTAACTGTGTTGCGTTTGGTCCAAATATGTGCGGTGGAAAGAAAACATGGTTGGTTAATCTGATAAATGGTCCTTCTTGTGCTTATAGAATACCTTAAATGATTCTTCGTTGAAGATCCATCTTAACTGTGTTGCGTTTGGTCCAAATATGTTCGGTGGAAAGAAACATGGTTGGTTAAACTGATAAATGGTCCTTCTTGTGCTTATAGAATACCTTAAATGATTCTTCGTTGAAGGTCCATTTTAACTGTGTTGCGTTTGGTCCAAATATCTGCGGTGGAAAGAAAACATTGTTGGTTAAACTGATAAATGGTCCTTCTTGTGTTCATAGAATATGTTAAATGATGCTTCGTTAAAGGTCCATCTTAACTGTGTTGCGTTTGGTCCAAATATGTGCGGTGGAAAGAAAACATGGTTGGTTAAACTGATAAATGGTCCTTCTTGTGTTTATAGAATACCTTAAATGATTCTTCGTTAAAGGTCCATCTTAACTGTGTTGCGTTTGGTCCAAATATGTGCGGTGGAAAGAAAACATGGTTGGTTAAACTGATAAATGGTCCTTCTTGTGCTTATAGAATACCTTAAATGATTTTTCGTTGAAGGTCCATCTTAACTGTGTTGCGTTTGGTCCAAATATGTGCGGTGGAAAGAAAACATGGTTGGTTAAACTGATAAATGGTCCTTCTTGTGTTTATAGAATACCTTAAATGATTTTTCGTTGAAGGTCCATTTTAACTGTGTTGCGTTTGGTCCAAATATGTGCGTTGGAAAGAAAACATGGTTGGCTAAACTGATAAATGGTCCTTCTTGTGCTTATAGAATACCTTAAATGATTTATTCGTTGAAGGTCCATCTTAACTGTGTTGCGTTTGATCCAAATATGTGCGGTGGAAAGAAAACATGGTTGGTTAAACTGATAAATGGTCCTTCTTGTGCTTATAGAATGCCTTAAATGATTTTTCGTTGAAGGTCCATTTTAACTGTGTTGCGTTTGGTCCAAATATGTGCGGTGGAAAGAAAACATTGTTGGTTAAACTGATAAATGGCCCTTCTTGTGCTTATAGAATACCTTAAATGATTCTTCGTTAAAGGTCCATCTTAACTGTGTTGCGTTTGGTCCAAATATGTGCGTTGGAAATAAAACATGACTGGTTAAACTGATAAATGGTCCTTCTTGTTTTCATAGAATATGTTAAATGATGCTTCGTTAA